TGATCCATGAAATGAGGTTGAGGTCAAATGAAAACTGTCTGACAGGCATGAGGACCTTGCAAGGTACGCACACACCAAATCTAGTTATTTTATTATTCATAATAAGAGAGAAATAAACATTACAAAAAATCTTCAAGTAGTCACTGAACAATGAAAATGAGGTCATGGACAATGAATATATGATCGACGGAAACTTCATATCATAAGGCATCTATATACAAAGTATGAAGCATCCAGGTCTTCTACCTTCTGAAATATTAAGCTTTTAAGAAGTTAGTTAACGCCACTGTTGCTGCTGCCGCCAGATCACTTTCCCTATGTCGAGCTTTCTGCGAAAGAAGTCGCAGGCTCGACAAAAACTTAACATTGAATAATGAACCATGAAAATGAAGTCAAGGTCAAATGATACCTGCAAGACAGACATGTACACCTTACAACCATTCCATACACCAAATATAGTTGACCTATTACTTATAGTACTTGTAAAACAGACCAAAACACAAAAAACTTAACATTGACCAATGAACCATGAAAATCAGGTCAAGTTCAGATGAAATCTGCCAGACTGACATGTTCCCATTACAATCATTCCATACACCACATATATTTGTCCTACTGCTTATAGTATTTGAGAAGTGGACTTAATCACATAACTTTAACCTTGATCACTGATCCATGAAATCAGGTTGAAGTAAGGTGAACCCTGCTTGGTGGACATGTAGACATTTCAAAGAACCCATCTACCAAATATAAATATCCTATTACTCATATTAAGTGAGAAATTCACATGACAAAAAAAATAATAATTTTTTTCCAAGCAGTCGCTAAACCATGAAAATGAGGTCAAGGACAATGGACATGTGACAGATGGAAATTTCCTAACATAAGGTATCTGCATACAAGATATAAAGCATCCAGGTCTTCTACCTTCTGAAATATAGCTTTATACAAATAGTTTACGCCGCCGCCAAAGAGTAATACCTTGTCTCGCATACTGCGACTTTCAATGACAAAAATCATCATGAAAGAGCAATAACTCTTATAAGGAGTTGGCTGATGATTTTGGCCATGCAAACTTAGTAGTAGATCCTGTCTTGCTGATCATTTTCACTTTTTAAAGTGTCTATCTTTTAAAGTTTTCTAGATAATAGGCAAAAACGCAATGCTAACTTATTCTTAGATATTGTCTTGTTGATAATCATTTTCTTATTTAAGGTTTCTATCTATTTTTTTAAAGTTTTTAAAATATTAGGCAAAGACAAAAAAAATTGTAATAACCGTCATTAAAGGGCAATAACTCCATGAAGGAGTTGTCAAACTATTTCAACCATGCTGTTATATTTTCGATCATGTCAAGCTGGTCATTATTGCTAATTTAAGTTTCTATCTATCAATTGTAGTTTTTGAATTTTAGGTGATAGTCATAAATATAAATTTTTACTACAAGTATCACATAAACTAAATATGATCATAGAAAATGAGATAGTGGTATTGAACCTTCTGATAAAATTTCATAGAGATCCATTCACTTAAAATAAAGTTATTGTCCGGAAACCAAATGTGTCTTCGGACGAAGACAACAATAGCATTATACGAACGCAAAATTTTTTTAATGGTCATATAATAAAACCTGCCTGCCATCCTATTACTCATAATAAGAGAGAAATAAATGGGGAATGTGTCCATGGGACACAGATGATGCCCCCGCTTGCATGTAACGTTATAAAGGGATATAACTCAAGAACTGTAAAAGTGGCTCTCCCAAATTTGTACTTGATCTGAGTTTTGTGGTAATAAGCATTGTGCATAAGTTTCATAACATTTGGTTGAGGCAAACTAAAGTTAGAGAACGGAAATGAAAAATTCAGCAATTTTCCCATTTGTAAAGGGGCATAACTCTAGAACGGTAAAAGTGACGCCACCAAAATTGAAACTTGATCTTTGTTATGTGGTATTAAGCATTGTGTATAAGTTTCATAACATTTGGTTGAGGCAAACTAAAGTTAGAGAACGGAAACGAAAAATTCAGCAATTTTTCCATTTGTAATGGGGCATTACTCTAGAACGGTAAAAGTGACTCCATCAAAATTCAAACTTGATATGTGTTTTGTGGTAATAAGCATTGTGTATAAGTTTCATAACATTTGGTTGAGGCAAACTTAAGTTAGAGAACGGAAACCAAGTTTTGGTCGTATGTACGTACGTACAGACGGACAAGGGTAAAACTTTATGCTCCCTCCTACGGCGGGGGCATAATTAAGAATACTAAAAATCTTTATTTTTTTTCGAGTAGTCACTGAACCATGTAAATGAGGTCAAGGACAATGGACATATGACAGACAAAAACTACATAACATAAGGCATCTATATACAAAGTATGAAGGATTCATGTCTTCTACCTTCTGAAATATTAAGCTTTTAAGAAGTTTGTTAAAGCCGCCGGATCACTATCTTTATGTCTTGCTTTCTGCGACAGAAGAGCAATAACTCCAATAGAGTGGTTGTACACTTTCAGCCTTCTTGACTTATTTGTAGATATTATAAGTTTTGTTTACTAAAGTTCTCATCTATCTATTATAATTTTTAAGGTCCTAGGCAAAAATGCAAAATAAAGGATAATAATTTTCATTAAAGGGCAATAACTTCAAAAAGGAGTCGTCAGACAATTTTAGCCATGTTGACTTATATGTAGATCTCGTCTTACTGATCATTTTTGGTATTTCAAGTTTCTCTCTATCTATTATAGTTTTCAAGATAATAGGCAAAAATGGTAAAATTTGTCATTCAAGGGCAATAACTCCTATAAGTTGTTTGACAGTTTTGATGTAAATAGAAAATAGGTCAATCTCAACATTTTTACCACTGCAAGATAAGAGACAAATCTTGCATTTTACCTCTATGTTCTCCTTTTAACCATGTTGGTCAAGTTGGTTGGCAAGTACGGTCATCGGAGACATTTTATGCCCCCACCATAGCAGAGGGGGCATTAACTTTGACCCTTGTCTGTCTGTATGTCCCGAAATTGGTTTTCGTTCTCTAACTTTAGTTTGCCTCAACCTTATTATATGTAACTTATACACAATGCTTAATACCACAAAAAACAGATCAAGTTTGAATTTTGGTGGCGTCACTTTTACCGTTCTAGAGTTATGGCCCTTTACAAACAGTAAAATTGCTGAATTCTTCATTTCCATTATCTAACTTAAGTTTGCCTACCAAATTTTATGAAACCTATACACAATGCTTATTACCACAAAACTCAGTTCAAATACGAATTTGGGTAACGTCACTTATACCGTTCTTGAGTTATGTCCCTTTATAACGTTATATGCAAGCGGGGGCATCATCTGTGTCCCATGGACACATTCCCCATTTATTTAAACTAGATAACAGATACTAAAGATGATTGTGACCGAATTTGGTAAAATTTAATCCAGTAGTTTCAGAGGAGAAAATTTTTGTAGAAGATAACTGATGACAGATGACGGATGCCAAATGCTCACTTGGCTTTTCTGCCAGGTGAGCTAAATATAGACTAAAAATCATCTTTCAAGAACAATAACTCCTACTAGAGGGCAATTGGCCATGTTGATTTACTTGCAGATTTTATTTTACAGAACATTTTTTTTCAAGCACAATAACTCCTTTCAGGGGTCAATTGAAGATTTCGTCTTTATTGACTCATTACTAGATATTCTTGTTCTGGTCATGTTTACTGTTTAATTTTTCTCTCGATTAGTTTTCAAGATAATATCCAAAAGCTTTGAAATTTGCCAAAAAAAGACATTTCCGGGGCATTTACTCCAAAATAGGTTGTGCTTTTTCAGAAAATTCCATCAGAGATCTTCCTTGGCCAACTGGCTACTAATAATTTTTATCCATGTCAGTTTCACTCTAACTGTTTTAGTTTCTGAAATATTAGCCAAAGACTGAAATTTTCTGCAAAATGACATTTCAATATCAGCAACTCCAAAAAACTTCATACTATATACATGTACCCTAAAAGGATCAATCAGGTCAAGTTCGGTTGAAATTGATCTAACAGATCTTTTAAAAAGTTTACAATGATTAAAGCCAAGTGATTGCAAATAGCTTACATGGCCTATTGGGACAGGCGAGCAAAATTAGGAAATTTAAATCACTATATTTGTACTGAATGGAGCTAGGAAACTGTTAGACTTATGTCTGAAGTTAGTTTGAGAAATGTTTACTCTCTTTTACTGGAAATCTTGATTTTTGTACTTTCACGGAAAAAAATACATTAATTTCTCTGTTAGGGCAATAACTTTAATACGGAAAAATATATGCAAGAACAGAATAAAAAAACCCTGATTATTTTTAGGAATTTACATGTGAGAATTTAAGTAGGATAGAATTTCAGGAGTTCTCTAGTGCTGCAGTATTATCATGGAAATTAAAGAAAACGTAAATGCTGATTTTGTATTTGTTCAAGTCACAATCTCAATTTTCCCACAAATATCAATATCAATTATTAAAACCCTTGTCAATAAATACACAAAACAACTTAAATATCAAAGAGGTAGGACCAATTTCCCCTGTTTTGCCATGATATGTGTATCACTCACATTGTAAAAATGTTTAACCATGCTAGAAACCAAGTATCAAAGAGTCTATAAAATATTCTCTCACAAATTATCAACTATTTTACATTTTTTATTAAATTAAAAATGTTTTTCAGCCCCACAGATTGCTGTTGAAAACAATATTGCAAATTTAACAAGTTTTGTAAGCATTAGAGGCCATCTCTAATCAATATTAAGTTATTTGTACAAATGTGTTTGTAGTCTTAACCTAGTGACCTCAAAATCAATAAAGTTTTCCTCTCCCTATGGGTCATTATCAAACCAAGTTTGGTAAAGAACTGTCGAAAGGTCAAAACACTGTGTCTTGAAGCGGAAATGATTCATTATATTATAAAGTTCTTCTTCGTCACTAATTGGTTATAATTCTTTCAGATATATCTTCACATATAACAAACATTATCATGGAAATTGTTTTTATTCCATACAAAAATGAAGACTCCAAAATGGTCATACACAAAACATTCCTCCTCAGACAACAACTATGTAAACATACATAAAACATTCATACATGTTGTCAGATACTCTAAACAGCCTATTGTTAATTAACAACTGAAAAATAGAAAAAGTACTCCATGTAAGAATCAGGAAATTAAAGACACATCTTAAATTTAAAGATTTTCGATTGAACTTTAATTTGTACACAGCTAGCTGATATAGTCCTAATCTATCTTTTTTATAGGAAGGGGGGAACCAGAAAATATCAAATCCTATATATAGTCTTTTTCAATTTATCTCACTTCATATGATAATTCAATCACAAAGCATTATTGATACATTTACATCTCCAAAAAAAAAGCCTTAGTATAAATGTCTAAAGATATTCGTTTGATTCAAAAAGAATATGCAGCCTGATTCTTAAATGATGTGATTGTTTACAAAATTTGTGTCAGATTACATTGCAGATCTATGAAACAGTAAGATAATACTTCTTAAAACATTTCAATTGCAAGGTATAAATAAATATTACCATTTTTTGCATAGTTACATTTGCAAACTGTACAACCTGATTTTTTGGTATCTGTACAATCAAAATAAAAATAACATTTAGATCCGAGGTTACTTTCTTCCTCATATACTTAGCTAGTAAATTAAATGAATATTTCTTAACTCATACAGCATATACAAAAATTATCAAGGAATTTTTCTAAACTTATTTTGTTGAGAAACTACTCAAACATGAGAATCAATTTACCTGTTAATTTTGAGGTAAAGAGGTAAACATCACCTGTCTGCCATCCAATAACCCTGACATGACGGGGTATCTAATACAGTATTTACTCCTGATATATTTTTGACCAAAAATGTGCTTGTAATAGGAAAAAGAAGGACTATGTTTACATTGAAAAATACATAAAAACCCAGATCAATTACTGTCAATTAACCAACATTTCTAAAAAATAAAGACAAGTCTGGAAAATATGAAAGTTTGGAAACACTGGCATAATTGTAGATGATGTCACCACACAAGTGAAGTGCATGTTTTTTTCTGAGTCATTAAAGGTTTTCTATCTTTTGAAATGTTTCCCAGACTTAATAAATAAGTTAAGTGAGACACACAGTAATTCACATCACTACATAATTTGCGATTAATTCACAATGATGTGTGAGATGTAGCACTGAATTACATTAGTAGTTAAGTGAGATACACAATAATTCACATCACTACATTACTTGTGATTAATCCACAATGATGTGCAAGATGTAGCACTGAATTACAAGTGTAGTTAAGTGAGATACAAAGTAATTCACATCACTACATTACTTGTGAATAATCCACAATGATGTGCGAGATGTAGCACTGAATTACAAGTGTAGTTAAGTGAGATACACAGTAATTCACATCACTACATTACTTGTGATTAATCCACTATGATGTGTGATACGTAGTAGTGGTTACAGATTATTTTATGACTGCACCTGAACCATGAAAAACCAAAAGATCACTAAACAGACAAGAATGCAAGCAAAAAGAGTAATGCAATGACTTCAGTTAAATTGGACTTACTTTGCAAATGTAGGAAAACAGTATATCGTAAACTTGTTTCTGTGTAATATCAACTCAGACGACAGGTAAGCAAGAGAATGATTGCACCCCAAGCCAATCTCAGAAAATGCCTTCTCCCCAAAGAATATCAATATAATGGAATAGCCAAAAACAATAATGCCACATGATTAAATGAGGCCCTTGGTGGAGTTTATCTTTACCTGACAACAATAAACAAATCATATTATGTTGATATTATCAGATTTAAACTATTTGATTTATACAAGGCATTGAATTTGGCACTTTTTTTATTAGGGCTGTTCCAGAATTAAACACATGGGGCCTGGCATGGGAGGCACTTTTATTAGAACACAACCATCCATAGAATACTCTTTCATTTTACTAATAATACTTTCAAAATTCCGAGGAAAATACAACCAACCACAATTAATCAGTTTGAGTGCCTCCCATTTCACCACCAGGATTAATTTTGGAATAGTCTACCAGTTTTTGATAGTGATATCAAGCTATTTGGAGAAGAAATATTTTTTGATTACTGTAATCATCCATTCCTGATATCAAGCTATCTAAAAAGGATTGTGTTTTTATTACCAGTTCCTGATAACATGCAATTTGGAAAAGAATGTTTTATACTATATGATTACAATGACAAAAAATTTAAGGTTTGTAATCAACAAGCTCCCCCCTTTATTGAGCCTCATAAATACAATGATACCAACAATTTAATGTGATGCATGACCTACAATGTAATGTGATGCATGATACTCACAATGTAATGAAATGCATGATACTCACAATGTAATGTAATGCATGATACTCACAATGTAATGTAATGCATGATACTCACAATGTAATGTAATGCATGATACCAACAATGAAATGTAATGCATGATACTCACAATGTAATATAATGCATGATACTCACAATGTAATGTAATGCATGATACTCACAATGTAATGTAATGCATGATACCAACAATGAAATGTAATGCATGATACTCACAATGTAATGTAATGCATGATACCAACAATGTAATTTGATGTGTGCCATTAATACCCATTATTTTTATAAAAAAAAGCCTATCATCTACCAAACATATTACAATTCCTAGACAAAAATCTCATACAAAAAATATACTATTATAAATACTATGCAGTGATAACTTGTAATGTTAAAATGGTAGTAATTACCCAATTTAATAATTCACTGCCATATGGACAATCTATGTCAATCAAGTATCAAATTACATCTATAGAGAACACAGCCTTTCATAAAGTGGTAACTAGTCTAGGAATCTATGACATTTATAAAGAACCTGGAATTTAAACATATGAAATGTTCAAAAGTTTAAACTGTTTGTTAAAGGTAATTTTATGAGCTTTGAGTATATATCATTTTAGAAAAAAATAATAGCTGACTATAAAACTTTATCAATTTACATAACAAAAGAAAACAAAAGCCATTAGACAAAAAGGAGTTTGACTCTAATCTTAATTTACTAGGATTGCTAGTCTTCCTGTTGAAGGTCTGACAGTGGTTCTCTCCAGATTCTTCCCCCAATAAAAAGTGGCCGCAAGAACAACGATTTGACAGCCAAATTTGTCAATCTTGAAATATATGAAACTAGTTATTCCTTCATGAAGCTTAATGACTTTTAAAAATATCAAACATGAAAAAAGTCTGGCAGCAAATTATTTCCAATTACATTATTTTCCATGAGGTAGATCTCCCTCATAACAGTTCATAGATTTGAAGGTTTGTTTATATTATTGCAGTGGTAAATGACACAAAAATATCCAACATTAACAAACACCCACAATTGAACAATATCAAATAAACACATGTATAATCAATCAACTTTGTTAATTTAGTGAACTGCTTTTTTTCAAATCAGTAATGCTAGTTTTTTTGTACATGTATATTGAATAAAAAAGCAACAAATCTGATTGACCTCTATTTTCATAAATGCATTTCAAATTTTTAATCCTGATCTTCCTCACTATCAAAATCTTCATCACTTGAATCTTCATACTCTAAGTCCTCTTCAAATTTAGTGATTGGACGTTTGGGTTTGATCACTCTGTGTTTCTGAATAAATCTGGCTTCTTTCATCAGAAGCTCAGCATTAACTTCACTTTTAACTGCTTTAAACTCAGCTACCAAAGGAAAAATATGTTCAATAGCAGACTGGACATTGTCAACACATGGAGCTGAAATAAAATTAAAATTTTCAAAGAAAAGGTTGCCTTTCTCTATACATACCAAAGCATTTACCTTGTAAACTTCCAACTTTTAGCAATACAATTCCCCATACTCTGTGAGAACTAAATTATGAATCGTTAGAATGGAAAAAGAGCTTAACTCGATGGAGTAAAATTTTGTAAATATTCCGTTAGGGAAGTTTGAGCTATCACGAGATGCATTTCAAATATTCAAATTTTATCAAAAAGCCTTATATAGATTAGACCGTTGGTTTTCCCATTTGAATGGTTTTACACTAGTAATTTTTTGGGGCCCTTTATAGCTTGCTGTTCGGTGTGAGCCAAGGCTCCATGTTGAAGACCGTACTTTGACCTATAATGGTTTACTTTTATAAATTTTGACTTGGAAGGAGGGTTGTCTCATTGGCACTCATACCACATCTTCTTATATCTAATTATAACTCTTGAACCATACAAAATTGATAGGTATTTAGTCTTTATAATAGAACAAAAATATTGTATAATAAAATGCTTCGCTGAGCCCAGCCAGATATGACCGCAGAGGTCAAACCCTGAACAGTTTGGGCAAGTTTGGACTTGATACTGTCTGAATTTGGATTGTGATCAAATTTTTGACATAATATAGGTTTCTGACAATAAATAAATGTGGTCAAAGATCTTAAAAATTTGAAATGGGACATTTAATTTACCTAGAATGGTCTGATATCCAAAATCTAACAACATGGTTAGATTCAGCATATAAAAAAACCCCAAAAATTTAATTTTAGTTGAAATCAAACAAAGTTTAATTTTAAACCCTTCAAACCTTAATATGGACTAATTTGAAAACAGGGCCCAAAATAAAAAATCTAAATGCACAGTAAGATTCAGCATATCATACAGCCGCAATAATTCAGTTTTTGATGAAATCAAACAAAGTTTAATTTTGGACCCTTTTGACCTCAATGTAGACCAATTTAAAAATGGGGCCCAACTTTCAAAAAAGTAATACAAGGTTAGAACCCCCAAAAATTAAAGACTTTAAATTAATCCCATTGAAATTGGTTAAAAGATTTGTATTTATTTTCAATTGAAGATTTCTTACAGTATTGTGCAATACTGTGCAATCTAAGATTTCTTGCTATTGTGCAATACTGTGCAATTGAAGATTTCTTGCTATTGTGCAATACTGGCCAATTGAAGATTTCTTGCTATTGCGCAATACTGTATAATTGAAGATTTCTTGCTATTTCGCAATACTGTGCAATTGAAGATTTCTTGCTATTGCGCAATACTGTGCAATTGAAGATTTCTTGCTATTAAAAAAATATGAACCGCCAAATTTTTTGAACCCCCTACCCCTTGGAGTAATACCCCCAAATTAATCCCAGCCTTCCCTTTGTGGTATGGAACCTTGTAGTACAATTTTAGAGAGATCTATACACTAACACACAAGTTATTATCCGGAAACTACAAAAATGCTTGTTTTTGGCCCCTAATTCCTAAACTGTTGGTACCATAACCCCCAAAATCAATCCCAGCCTTCCCTTTGTGATATGGCACCTTGTGGTACAATTTCTGAGAGATCTATACACTAACACACAAGTTATTATCCGGAAACTACAAAAATGCTTGTTTTTGGCCCCTAATTCCTAAACTGTTGGTACCATAACCCCCAAAATCAATCCCAACCTTCCTTTTGTGGTATTGATCTTAGAGATCCATTCACTTAAACTAAAGTTATTATCCAGAAACCAAATGTGTCTTCGGTCGACGCCTACGACACCATAGCATTATAGGATTTTTGCGGTTGTACAAAAAATTCATAAAAATCTGTTAAAACTTTTCCAAAAGATACTTTATATAATCCACTCCTTATTTTCCATGAGAAGCCTTCATCCCAGAGATTTTAGACTATTTAGGGTAAAATGGAAAGAAAGAAGACTGTTGAGCAGCTTTCATCCCAGAGATTTTAGACTATTTACGGTAAAATGGAAAGAAAGAAGAGTGTTGAGCAGCCTTGATCCCTGAGATTTTAGACTATTTAAGGTAAAATGAAAAAAAGACTGGTGCTGAACAATGAGGAATTAGAAAATGTATGACTATATGACTTAGAACATACTATTTAGTAATCTTCTAAAGGAATTTTTCAGTTCCTGGATAAGTCTGCCTATACCCAACATCAAAATTAAAAATCTTTTGTTAAGTAACTTTTTGAATTTAATTTTTTTTGAATTTAGGTTTCAGTTTAAAAACCATGAAATAAGGAGAGGAGTATACATACCTGTAACAGTTATACTTCCAGTAGTAAAGATTTTCAGAGTGGCCTTTGGTTCTTTTATTCTGTATGTTGCCCCAGGATGCAGTTCTGGTTCATAACTGAAAATAAGAAATTATATATTTTTATAAATATATACATTATAAATAAGGACACAACACTTCAAAGGAATACAGGTATTATCTATTTCAGATTATCTTGTTTCAAGGTTTTAGCTGCTGTCATTAGGATAAATACAATGAGAATTTTTCTTCCTGAAGTACTAAATTCAGTTAACAAGTATGACATCACAATTCATAATGGTTTCCATACATAGTAAGTTGTACCATCAAGTGTATGTTAAATGTATAAATACAACAAAAATGTGTGGTAAAAGGTTAAAAACAATAATGTGTATGAATATGTTTGTTAGGATGTTGTCAGTGTATATGTTTGTTAGGATGTTGTCAGTGAATATGTTTGTTAGGATGTTGTCAGTGAATATGTTTGTTAGGATGTTGTCAGTGAATATGTTTGTTAGGATGTTGTCAGTGAATATGTTTGTTAGGATGTTGTCAGTGAATATGTTTATATTAATATTACTGAATTTGGATGACACTATTCTGGCAATTCCATACCATATCCACTGGTTTCCCTTGGCCAAAGGTACTACTTCTAATCATTTCGGTAATGCTCTGAAGTGTTTGACCACTGCCAAATGTCTGTGGCAATGTGCACGTGTCTATACCTAAACATCGTGTTGGGAGGGATTAACTAAAAATTTCTTTGGGAAGGATTTATGTTGTTTGTATCGAACTAATTCTATGCTTACTTTGAGGTAGATTCTGAATACTATATCTTGATTTACAACATAAAGGTCAGTTGTTTGTTTTTGTTTACCCAAGTTGTATGTTAAACATCAACTTAATTTAACTGATTTATACTTGTAAAAACAAACAGAATTTGTAAGCAACAGTCCTGTGGATCTGTGGATTCATTATTATTCGTGGAATACCAATTTTTGTGGAAGTTTAAAAGTTCAATAAAGTACAAATTTTCTATAGGCTTGTTTGCAGACTTTGACAAATCCTCACTATATGCATTTACACTTTATCAATGGCTGATGTATATGCTTTGTCACAAACAGAGAGCTTTCAACCTATCACTAACATTTATATGTCTTTTTTTTCTCTCCATCATGTCTACTAACCATACAGTTTTGAATGTTACATGGCAATCTTAGAGAAAAACATCTATGGGATGTTCCTACACAGAACCTCTTTAGAAAGGTATAGATAACATTCAGGAGTTACTTGACAGCAAACTGTTTTAAATGCTCCCAAAGGGATCATAAATCCTTCAACAACATGGGAACGCTAAAACTTCTTTATGATTTTCAACTTTGGGGGATTTTCTCATAAATATTATGAAGGAGCAATTATAAAGGAGCATACAATTTTTCATTAAAGAAAGAGGTGTTCTAAGTTCCTGATGAAGGTAAATCAAGAAAAGCGCTTCAGATACATGAAATTTTATTACCGGTACGTGTTGTCTTCATTCTTTTCAGCACTGGGTCGATACCTCTGCTGGTGGACTATCAGTCCCTGCAGGTATCATCAGCTCAGTAGTCAGTACTGACATTATAACAAACCTTTCTAAAATTGTCCTTTTATAAATTTTAAAATAATTTAGAAGCTAAGTTTTCCAACTCCCTCAGGCAAAGTTGACCTGACCACATGCACACCTTCAATATACGTACAAACAGCCAGCAAAGTGAAAACTTCCTAGCATTCAAACTGTAGGAGGAGTTATCTGGAATAACTATATACCCATAATGGGACGGACGGACAGAAGGACAGACATACAGAGGACGTACAGACAGATGGACGGACAGGGGTAAAACAATATGCCCCCCAACTTTTAGTTGCGGGGGCATAAAAAACTAAGTCCATTTATCAGTAAAATATGGAAAAAAGGAAAATAAATATTTTCAAAATTTTGGTCTGGATACTGTATTTTGGTCATTGACAAGCTTCTGTCCAAATTTCATAACATTCCATGAAGGTTTGACAAAGTTATTTATGACTGAAAAACTTTAACCTAAGACTGAATATGAATGTTAACTGTAAAAAAAAACTCAGTCCATTTATCAGTAAAATATGGAAAAACGGAAATAAATATTTTCAAAATTTTTCTCTAGATACAGTATGTTGGTCATCAAGAAGCTTTTGTCCAAATTTCATAAAATTCCATGAAGGTTTGACAAAGTTATTGATGTGTTTTTAAAACAAGAGTGCACACGCTGAAATGTCTCGCCTTCTTTACTAATCATTGATATTATGTTGATAGTTCTAAATATAAAGCTTTACTACAACTATCACATAAACTTAACATGATCCAAGGAAAATGAGGTCAAGGTCATATAAACCAAACAAGAAATACATGTACACCTTACAATCATTCAATACACTAAATATAGTTGACCTATTGCTTATAGTTTCTAAGATAGACTTAACCAAGAAAACTAAACATTGACTAATGAACCATGAAAATGAGGTCAAGGTCAGATGAACCATGCCAGGCAGACATGTACAGCTTGCAATCCTTCCATACAACAAATATAGTTGACCTATTGCTTATAGTAATAGAAAAACAGACCAAAACACAAAAACTTAACACTGAGCTATGAACCGTGAAAATGAGGTCAAGGTAAAAAAAAAACGGCCAGACTGACATGTACATCATAAAATATTTCCATACACCAAATATAGTTGACCTATTGCATATAAATGTAGTATTAGAATAAAAGACCAAAACTCAAAAATTTAACATTGACCACTGAACCATGAAAATGAGGTCAAAGTCAGAAGACACCTGCCAGCTAGACATGTACACCTTACAATCATTCCATACACCAAATATAGTAGACCTATTGCATACAGTATAAGAAAAACAGATCAAAACACAAAAACTTAACTATAACCACTGAACCATGAAAATGAGGTCAAGGTCAGATGACACCTGCCAGTTGGACATGTACACCTTACAGTCCTTCCATACACCGAATATGCTAGACCTATTGCTTCTAGTATCTGAGATATGGACTTGACCACCAAAACTTAACCTTGTTCACTGATCCATGAATTGAGGTCGAGGTCAAGTGAAAACTGTCTGACGGGCATGAGGACCTTGCAAGGTACGCACATACCAACTATAGTTATCCTATTACTCTTTATAAGAGAGAAATTAACATTACAAAAAATCTTTAACTTTTTTTTTCAAGTAGTCACTGAACCATGAAAATGAGGTCATGGACAATGGACATGTGACAGACGGACACTTCGTAACATAAGGCATCTATATACAGAGTATGAAGCATCCAGGTCTTCCACATTCTAAAATACAAAGCCTTTAAGAAGTTAGCTAAAGTGTACAAAATGAGGTATCATCCAAAACATTTTATAACCCCATTCAGAAAAAGTGTAAGCAAGGGTTCTCTAGTGTTCTAGCTAGAATCTGAGGGTAGAGGAGTGTAGTCCAATGAAAGGGCCCATTATTACGTTATTTAGGTACCTACCAAAAAGAGACACAATTCTTGCTATGATTAGTTATATCTGGCTTCAATGTTATAAGTGTGACCCTCTGGAAGGCTTTTTTATTTACCTAGTTAGACACTCCCATGAAGCAATTTAGTAATTGTAGATTATTTACCTATAACAGCTCAAATAAAACTAATCTAAGTCAATGGAGTTATCAGAAAAAATGTGATAAATGTTTCATTACAAAATGGTTAGTAACCATAGCTAATATAAACCTCTGTTATATCTGCATATCAATTTGCATTACGTAGTGGAAATATTTACCTAACTTCTCTTGGATATTTTCTTGCCATATCTGCCACTTTAATTTTAAAAGGCATAGAACATGTTCCTAGTACATTTACAACTTTAAAATTACTAAACTTGACATCAAAACCAATCCTTTGTAATTGTCTGGCAAATTTTCTGGCAGCAATTTTTGCATATGGTTCACTGTAATTAAAACAGGATATATATTAATATCTACTACACAAATTTCCATTTTTTTAAATGTTCACAAATATTAGTTTAATATTTAGTAGTGCAATTACCTTCCGATGCTGGCAATGGATCATTTATATTATATATCAATAATATTGGCTTATTAGAGTATTATTTGTTCTAATGTTTATCTTTATGTATACCAATCAGATCTCTCTATTTCAAGGGCTACTTAAGCCAGTTAAGGAATAAGGAATTATATTTTTTATTGCTGATCATATTATAGTTGAAACAAGATATGAATAGAAGAAACTTGAAATGATACACATTTTTGCTTAAAAGCAAACTTTCTCCAATAAAATCAATGAAAATGCATCTGCATCCATGCAAAACATTATAATAGGTTATCAATGGAAAAAGAAAGCACTGTTATCATGCTAAGTTTACCCCACTTGTAATTCAATGTAGGAAGGTGTCTGAACTACAGCATGTACCATACCTGCCAACCCTTCCTTTTGAGTGGAAGACTCCCGCTCAAACGGCGAAATTCAGGAAATCTCCTGCTTGCCAGTCCGCTCCCGCGCGGGAGTATAGAATCTCTAGCTTTCGGATATTTTAATCAGGAATGAAACGCGTTCCTAATTCTCTGGCTTTTTCATTACTGTCAATAGCAATAAATAAACAATCGGCATTCATTTGAAAACTTTGGTCAGTAGTTTTTATGTTCGATTTATAAGTAATCGAAATTCATTTCTGCTATGTCAACTCCAACAAGATAGAGGTCTTTGTCTGGACCAATCGGCAGTGTAAAAAAGAAGAAATAGATAACTGCAAATCAAAATGTCAAGCAGACTGAATGAAAGATTTCTTATTTTTACGACCCAGTTCACCGACACTTGGCAATGAATCTTCATTTTGCACATCATGTTCAATCAACTTTTCGGTTTCTTCTGGTGTGACGTTTGAAAGCGAGCTTAGTGTGGGTCTCACAACAAAATCAAAATATGGAATGTTATGAGTTATGAGACTCAGAGGTATTGAAAAAGCAAAAAAAAATAAATGTGGATAGTGTCCACATGTGGACACAGATGATGCCCCCGCTTGCATATCATATAGTTATGAAGGGACATAACTGAAGAACAGTAAAAGTGACGCTACCCAAATTTGAACTTGATCTGAGTTTTGGGGTAATAAGCATTGTGTGCAAGTCTCATAACATTTGGTTGAGGCTAACTTAAGTAGAGAACAGAAATTAAAAATTCAGCAATTTTTCTATTTGTAAACACGCATAACTCTAGAACGGTTGTGTATAAGTTTCATAACATTTGGTTGAGGCAAACTAAAGAAAACGGAAAACAAAAAATTTGTACTTGATCTTAGTTTTGTGGTAATGAATATTGTGTATAGGTTTCATAATGTTTGGTTGGGGCAAACTTGATTTACAGAATGGAAACTAAAAATTTTGCAATCTTTTGATTTATAAAGGGTCATAACTCAATAATGTTTAAAGTGACACTACCCAAATTCAACTTGATCTGTGTTTTATCAGTGGAAGTCAAAATTTAACATTGCATTGTATAAAGCATTGATTGTAGTTGATTCAACTATAATCATGGACAAAGGAAGATAACTCCAAATTTATAAATTACTTGATATTTAGAAGAAAATAAAAATTTTGCAATTTTTCCATTTATAAAGGGCCATAACTCTAGAACGGTTAAAGTGACGCCACCAAAATTCAAACTTGATCTGTGTTTTGTGGTAATAAGCATTGTGTATACGTTTCATAACATTTGGTTGAAGCAAACGTAAGTTAGAGAACAGAAACTAAAAATTTTGCAATTTTTCCATTTATAAAGGGGCATAACTCTTAGTACGATTAAAGTGACGCCACCAAAATTCAAACTTGATCTGTGTTTTATGGTAATAAGCATTGTGTATAAGTTTCATAACATTTGGTTGAGGCAATCTTAAGTAAGAGAACGGAAACTAAAAATTTTGCAATTTTTCCATTTATAAAGGGGCATAACTCTAGAACGGTTAAAGTGACACCACCAAAATTCAAACTTGATCTGTGTTTTGTGGTAATAAGCATTGTGTATAAGTTTCATAACATTTGGTTGAGGCAAACTCTCAAGTTAGAGAACGGAAACCAATTTTGGGACGTACGTACAGATGGACAAGGGTAAAACTTAATGCCCCCACCGCTACGGCAGGGGCATAAAAAAAAAAAAAAACACACCTCGTATAGATTATAACCATGAATTGAAGAAATAAAGTATATCTTTTAACTCTGATTGGTGTTTTGTAGATGAATAAATAAACAAGTCATATATTTAACTTGAAAATGTCGTTCGTGCAAAATGCCCCCCTATACTGTCATAGCTGAAGGGGAGATCTCCCTCTTTGAAGGTTTCAGAGGTTGGCAGGTATGGCATGTACAGACTTAAAACATAATGCCCCTCCCCTCGTCTTTGGTAAGTTACCAAGTCCAAGTTTATAAACAAATGCCTATACATTGTACTGTACATGTGCACAATAATCCATGAGATGTCCATTAACATGTGTTACCTGTCTGTCTTTGTCTCTAATTGGTTCAACTGTTACCACATACATGTGAACCTAATCACTCCCCCTTACCATAACAGTATATACTTGTCTCTCAAATCTTACATTACCTTGTAGCACCTGTACAAGTTATCTTTCCTGAAGACCAAATACTGGCAGTTGTGTATGGCCTCCTTATCCTCATATTGCACATCTGAAATATTCCATTAACATTTTATATAATTCATCAAATCAGGATGTCTGATCTGAAATATTCCATTAACATTTTATATAGTTCATCAAATCAGGATGTCTGAAAATCTATATCAATTTACTTATTATAAATAAATAAATAAATAAATTATAGTACTGTCAGCTCTATAAGCCAGTTAATCAACAAAGCAAAAATGAAACTTGACATCCAGTCAACACAAAAAAAATTAAAGCTGTTGCTTAAATGCAGGTAACCAGAAAGGTCACAGAAGGATAAAACTGTTTGCAACACCATTTAATGTACAATGTAAGATGTAGCACTGACATGCAAAACTGGAATCACAGGTAACATACTGATATAAAGTTTGCCTCTTCCTAAAATAAGCCTGATAAATCTTATAATATAATTGAAGAGGTGATCTAGTGATCTGAGATACCCCTACCAGCAGCATCTGAAAGATCATGATTTTATTTCTGTAGCAACATACTGTGAAATTTTATAAAATGTTGTAATATTTTTGCCATAGGTCAAAAGCATATTAAATGTTATAAGAAATTACGAACTTGATATAATCATACAATTGTTTTCTTATGTTAAATCCTTTACAAAACATTTACACAAGATATGATGGGAAGTCAAAATTTTGAATTTTTCCAATGTACAATAAGCACCATAACCATGATAGCATTCCATTAAAATTCAATTAATTTCGAAAAGTGGTGCTCTATTCATCATCTGAAAATCAGGTACATGAACATGAGGATTCTTAAATACCCCTACTCTGTCGAGAGGTGGCATAATAATTAAACAAAAATATTTTTTCCACAGTGCCCAAGTCTCACTGTCACTTATCCATGTTCAGTGAACAGCAAAATCTGGGTCAAAACCTAACCAGAATAATTCAGTTGTTATATTCCGCTGATCTATGATTACTCCATTAATGCCTGAATGCATTGACAAAGAAAAATCTTCAATCAATCATTCGGAATTAGCTCGGGTTTTACCTATCTCGATAAAATTGAACTGATTGCTGATTGGTCACCTCTTCTACAGGCAACAATCAAAATCCAGGATTCGTGAAGAGTTTTTATCGTGTAAGGAATTCAGACCCTCGCAAGTAGGAGAAATCGATTTTGGGGAGGGACTGAATTATTCGGGTTAGTCAAAACCAAGACAAAATATGAAATAGAGTCATTGTACCCATTGAAAATGATTATGGTCAAAGGGTCTAAAATGACCTTTGGATGAATTTTGATGTCTGGTGGATATCTTTTGTCACATGCATAATAACTCCACATCCTTTCTTTTTCCAAGAATAATTTCTTTACTCTAACATTTTATTTCGAATAATTACTATAACTACATATATATTTATACCGTATTTTAATTCCATATACCATGATAAAAAAGATGTGTTGAACTCCCATTACAAATTTGTCAGACAAAGTGATACCTGTCTGTTTGAAGTTCTTCAGTTTTGTTTTACTCTAAATTTTTTTGTCTGTAAGGACTTCGGTGATAATGCCAGGTCTTTGATAATCCATCCCCTTTGCCCCAACATGCCCAATGTGATATGATTTTTACAATGTGTTTATAATAGAAGAATGAATTGTCCTGCGGGGAAAAGCATCATAGGACATTCTGATGTGATGATATTTGCTTTGTGACTTCAAATTTTCCCAGGAAAATGCATTAATTGAAAGATGTGTAGAACTTTGTATCATGCAAGTAAATACATACACCCTGTTCTCTTTTGTACTCAACATTAGCACCTTCCATTGCCACAGTTCTCAAGTTCAAATGACATCGTGTACTAAAAGTACACACTACATTGTTTATAATGATATCAATACATGGAGTGTCATCCTCAGTTTCTTCAACTTCGGTCTCCAAGCCATTTTGATTGTTATTTGTGCTATTCTCTACCTTCAGTGAACTAGAATCCAATAAAGGGGTCACCCCTTCTAGTTGGACGTCTGTCATTTTTAACAGATCATTAAAACAAATATAACTGCACAATCATCACAAAGTTATTAATAATCTATTGTCCATTTGTGTTTTGTTGACAAAAGTTGTTGTAGAAGGTTATGGGATTTCGTTTTTCCGTAACTTTTTCATGTCAAACAGACATTACATGTGTTTTGGGCAGGACATGACTCCAGTTTTAAGACTGAATCCTTATAATTGCATTAACAGGCAATTCTTATATTTTTTTCTATCAGACGAATTTTCAGCATTTGCAACAGCAGCCATGCTTTCCGGTTTATTAAATACCCAATCAAATTCCGTTGCTACTGAAAGGGAGACAATCATAGAAAAGAAGAAATTTCGCGGGAATTTTTAAGGTTTTTTTAGACGGCGAGGTTTATTCATATACTGCATTGAGTGATATATATACGATATTTCTCCTCTTGACACAGTTACATTTTTCAATAAACGATAATCAATATAGTATTGAGAATTGTATTTACCAAATAATTTTCACTGAGATGCTTTCAAGCGAAAGATACGATAAAGACGGGTCTGACAGTACTGAGTAAATAGTTTAGATTTGTGGCCTCCTGTAAATCTATCTTGAAAAGTTATATTACAGACTTTTCTTAGATTTTGTTATTTGATCTGAAATAAGTTTTCCTATTACTTTTCTTGATTAGCTATCGAGGCTATTCATCCCTGACTTGTCTACATGTTGTAGAATAATTATCGACGAGAATCTCATTCCGGGCCGCGTTTTTTAACGGGATTTCACGGAGTTGCCAATCTCTGTGTATATATGTCTCTGATCAAAATCAAAAGCTCAAACACATCAAACGAATGGAAAACAATTGTCATTTTCATGACTTGGTACAGATATTTCCTTATGTAGAAAATGGTGGATTAAACCTGGTTTTATATAGCTAGCTAAACCTCTCACTTGTATGACATTCATATAGAATTCCATTATATGATCTTATATTGATAACAATGTTTGAAAAACAAACAGACATAATAGGTAAAAACTGGGAACAGTATATATAACAATATATGTTCCTGGTAAAAACAAAATGGCATATAGACACTCTATAAACAAATTATTTTCGTAAAAATGAAAGACAAGAATACAAAAATTACCATAGCACAATAACAAAATGACGGCCGGATGTATAAATACCTAGCCACGCCAAAAGTATATAACCAAAAATGGACTAAACAGTAAAGGTTAAAAATATGCAACGACAAATAAAAAGAACACTATAACACGTAATTAAGATGACAACTTCAACGTCAGTACCTACAGAATCTATACTTCAAGACCATCATGTGTTATTTGTGAAGTTGATACGGAATATTTATCAGTCAACAAGGTCTTGGTATCTTCCGATGAACTTTTTAAGAAAAAGGACGAGACGTTCTTTGACATAACTGGTTCATCAACTTTCTGCTCTGACACTGGTGACGTTTTATAAAGGCTGAGTAGCATATGCAAGCTCTTGAATACCGAATAAGTTGGGAAATATATATCCCATATGCAGGTGAAGTTGGTATATTTCTGCTAAGTTGGGGGGAATTTATAATTTCAAAATTAAAATCGTCTCGTTTGTCATGGATTCTGGTACTGAGATGACCTCTTCTGTCAAATTCAAGGTATAAGTCTAAAAATGAGGGCAGGCGGAAGAAGCCGTGTCTGTTGTTTCTTAAAATTCTAGTTCTGGAGGATATATTAATGGAACCAAATCAGAAAAGTTTGGATTGTTAATGGAAAGAACATCATCAATATATCTGAATGTGAAATTAAATGATCTGGCTTCTTTGATCTTCTTGTTTTTGATAAGTGTCTGAAGGAACTCCGACTCATATGAAAATAAGAAGAAGTCGGCAAGGAGAGGCGCACAGTTCGTTTCCCTAGGAATGCCGGCAATTTATTGAAAAAGTCTACCTCCAAATTCATTACATTTGTTGTCAATAAGAAACTCCAGCATACTGATCACTTGTTCCTCTGTGTAGCATGTTTTACTTATTTGTTCACTATTAACAAAATATGCCATATGGTACTTCAAAGCAATAAATTTATAACGTATGCTACCATTTTTATATTGAAAAGCATTGTGGATTATATCTTTTAATTTATATGCTTCACTCTGCGTGAAAAAAGGAGAGTTGTCTCATTGGCAGTCATACCACATCTTCTTTTTTATATCCCACCAAATGGTCCTGACTATTTTCTCTAGAATATCAGTACTTCATTGGTGCATGATAATGTATCCCCTCAGAAACGTTTAGTTTCAAAATCATTATATGATAATAGTCCCAGCATATTATATACATTCCTTTGAATCAGAATGTAAAAAGTAATATTGTTAAGATCTTTAATATATTTCTTGAACACCAAAAGTTTTAAAACTGATATACGGTGTGGCTTGCTGTTTATCCAATTTTGTGTATAACCTTTTATAAAAGCAGTAACATATCGAATGATGGCAATCGCTTACGTCAGTTTTATTATTCGGTATTTTATTTTTAAGAGTTATATCTTCGAGTGACGGTGAAAGGGCATTTTTTTTTTTACTCAGTATTTGCCAGATCAAAAATAGCACATGTATTTCCCGCCAATACTTTCGATAACATCATAGTTCAGATACCCAATAGTCATACAATTTTCTATAAACTTTAGAACCTTTATCTAATTGGACATTACTTCAGTAAAAAAATGCATGTATATCATTTGCCATTGATGGTGGTCTATAAAAGGCATAAATTAACCGTATGGTTTTTAATAAGAGCAATATTATTCAATATTTTACTGTTTATTGAATGTAAGACTCTCGAAAAAGAACTCATCAAATACATCAGGCTTAAAATTATGTAAGCCAGACGCGCTTTTCGTCTACAAAAGACTCATTAGTGACGCTAAAATGAAAAAAAGTTAAAAGGACAAATAAAGTACAAAGCAGAAAAGCATTATGGGCCAAACATTCCGATAGTTTTGCCAAATACAGCTAAGATAATATGGGCTAGAAAAATCTTGAGTATTTTAAACAATTTAAAGTTTTATAAACAGTTTATCTATAAACATGATAATATCAATGATAATTCATGTCATGTCAACACATGAAACATTGGTGGAATGTACGGCTATTGGTATTTTCCTGATCGGGACGGAACATAATACGAGAACCCGGATAAAATGGGATTTAAAATATAATTCCAAAAATGCGAAAAAGATGAATGAATTTGTGTCAACAAATTTTGTATTACAGATGAATATTAAGTATAAAACAAATCATTAAACCTCTAATATATACACAAATCCAAACAGACCATAATAGATACAAATCCATACGTGTACACTCCAGACAAAGCTCATTTTCTGCGAGAATGTACAACAGGACACATTTCAGATGGACTATTTTAACTCATTTTTTATAACAAAATCATTAAACAAATGTTATTCAGTCCGCAAAATACATATTGCTTTGAGGAATTGGTACTTCACGGAATCGTACGGAAAAAGGACATTTTTGACTAAAGTTTTATGCAATGACACGAGTAATGAGGTATTCTATAAATTTTCTGTGGCATTTACTTGTTTCTAAAACACGGATCTTTTATAATGATTAATTTTGTTTCATGCTTCCACATGCATAAGTACACAATCGTTGGTTCGTCTAAAACTAAATACATCTCACGTATATATATACTTCAGATGGAGTTGCATCTAATTACAACAATTTGAAAATGATTAATTCCGTTCCGTTCCGCAAAATACAAATTGCTCTGAGGAATTCATTCAGAAGAACCTTCTAATAAGCCATCGTTTAAAGAAAACAGATATACTGAATTTATATATGCAGAGACAGTTTGCATATATGTCTCTGATATATGTAGGCCTCAAATCTATGTCCGGCCTCAAATCTATGTCCTTTCCTCAGATCTGTGTCCTTTTTTATTTTGCGTCATAGACGTCCCAAATCTATGTCCCGTTTCTTTCCTCACATCTGTGTCCTTTAAAAAAAACTAATACGTAAGAATTAACAACAGTTCAAGTATATTTGATGCTATTGCGGAAAATGAATGATGGCGGAGCAGGAACTTGACTATCGTAGACGAGAGATACATTATATCACGCACCAATAAAAAGGGAAGTGTAATAAAGTCCTGTTTTTGGAAAAACCCACATTAATAAAGAAATCGTCTGCAAAGGAAGAAGGTGGTAACATGCTTGTTGGTAAACATATATTTTTAATTTCCTGGCAGTCTGCTTACAGGTTTCTGACATTTAATAAATATTATAGCACAAGGTTTAGGGACACATTTGGACAGATAATTGAATTGTGGTTAAGGCTGTTAGAGGACATATATTTGAGGCCAAACTTTTTACACGGACATAGATTTGCGAATGACATAACGACGATATACACCGGCTTGAGAATGGAAGACAGATTTGAGGCCGTACTTTTTTAAACGGACATAGATTTGCGAATAACGTAACGATTGGCAGGGGCGTAACTACCCCAAAGCATGACAGCACGTGCATCCACGTCGTTTTCACCCAAAAAAAAAGAAGAGAGAGAGAGAGAGAAGGGGGGGGGGGGACAAAGTTAACTTATAGGAATTGGTCTTTCTATGTATGTATTTTAAAAACTACACAAAGAATAAAAGCAAGAGGAATACACATGCAGCGAAATTTTTAGTCCTGTAAGACATGTATGTGTACGATAAATACATACAACTGGTGTAAACATAGTGGAACTTTTTATATTACGGACATTGTTTAGAAAAACAGCTACATAATTGTCGGTACCACCACCATAACGAATACTAGCCTTGAGTGCAAAAAACAACAAATAATCCCTTTAGGGTTAACAAAAAAACTTGAAAATTATTATTTTCCGCTTCGCCCCAAAGCACACATCTTACTAGAACGAAGACTCTTCAACTCGTATCGATCCGGGAATAACGACTGTTACCTTGTGAACTAGTTCAGAAATTGACCAAGTATGAAGGTCTTGACAACACGAATACTTCATTTTCACATCACGTCAACGTATTCTCGTCCTGGTGTGCATGTAATATTTGCTACTGGACATTAATAACCATTCAATCAATCAATAGTTTCCGTAAACTAATAGACGAGAAGTAGGAACTGCTGTAATTATTATAAAAAAAAGTACACATTTCCAGTACATGTATTACGTTTTTTTATTTATTTTACAAAAAAACATCTTGTATACTGAACTATTTGGTCATTCAATTTTATAATGAATTTTCTGTCCGAGTCGGACACTAAACTGCGGATTCTTGTTCGAACGAAACACCAAACTTTTAATACACGTCTCTTCACTGTTATCATCTAGATATTGCAATACAACTTGTCGAATGCATATGTATTTGTTAATTAGTTGGATAATTAACAAACGCAGATCATGAAAAGATCGTGATCAAAGTACTATTCTCTCTGAAAAAGTTCCTTAATTTCAACTTCGAGAATTCCTAACTGCGTAAAATAAGAAATTCCTATCTCTCTCTTGTAGAGTTTACCCACAGAAATTTTAAACATCAAAATACATATGTTCAGCAAAATATTGGAGAATGTGTCCACCAAGTATTTGGTATCCAAAGATGTTGATGCTAACAAATTCCACATATAGTATTGTGTTTATGTTTATTGTTTGTTTTTTATCCATCTACTTTGGTCAATACAAATACTAGCATATGGAACAAACCTCCGTGATTTTAAAAGCTCTCATGGCGTACAAAAAAGGCAAACGGCAATGTTTAGTCTTCATTCGACTAGAAGTTAAACAAATGGTTGACCAAAAAAAACACAAAAAAAATATACAAGTTTTATAACGGTTGTGATTGTTTTGAAACGCTATATATGCGGATTTTCCGGGAGCTTCGCCCCCCTGGCCCCCTACCAGGGCTTTGCCCTGGACCTACTGGGGGCCTTAGGCGGCCCCCAGACCCCTCCCCCTTTAGTTTGTGATTCCACATCATTAAGAAGGTAGCTACGCCCCTGATTGGAAACAGATTTGAGAAAAGGACATATATTTGAGGCTTTACACGGATTTGAGGCTTACATTTATGACGCCAAACACATAGTTCAAACTGATTGCAAAGCGCAGCTTTAAAACTTATAAGTATAGATTTACGACAATTTCCTCAAAATCAGTTTTATAAAAACAAAAAAATATTAAATAATGTTATTGATTCCTACTGATAAATATAAGGAGTTGCTATGTAATAACGAATCAAATATGAATTTTAACGATAAGCCCTGAATTATACGGTTTGAGGAAATCAACTTAGCACGTACTGTTGGGGCATTTAACCATGTATTATTGATATATAACGGTGTTACTTGTATGTATATAAACTTATAATTCGTCAAAATATTTGCTTATAATATAAAATGCTACTAGAAGATTTCAATATTATGTAAGACATTTTTACAGTCTTTTGTTAAGCATACCTACCGCAGTTAATCGGGTTATAAAATAACATTACATTCAAATTCACTTCACAGTTAGGTATCGTACCATCTTGTTAAATATGGCAAACGACATACACTTTTCAAAGTACATTCATATAGAATGCACTAAATAAAAATATTTTCTTCCGACATAAAAAAAACTGTAATATAACACAGAAATATGCAGCAAATACAAATTGATTTGAAGAATTATGCGCCCAATTATGTTCTACAACATGCCATATCTTTACGGTTATTCAGAAATAAAGTTCTTAAACTTAAAACGTACCATATCTTTATAGTCATTCAGAAATAAAGTTCTTAAACTTAAAACGTACCATATCTTTATAGTCATTCAGAAATAAAGTTCTTAAACTTAAAACGTACCATATCTTTATAGTCATTCAGAAATAAAATTCTTAAACTTAAAACGTACAAGATCTTTATAGTCATTCAGAAATAAAGTTCTTAAACTTAAAACGTACCATATCTTTATAGTCATTCAGAAATAAAGTTCTTAAACTTAAAACGTACCATATCTTTATAGTCATTCAGAAATAAAATTCTTAAACTTAAAACGTACAAGATCTTTATAGTCATTCAGAAATAAAATTCTTAAACTTAAAACGTACCATATCTTTATAGTCATTCAGAAATAAAGTTCTTAAACTTAAAACGTACCATATCTTTATAGTCATTCAGAAATAAAGTTCTTAAACTTAAAACGTACCATATCTTTATAGTCATTCAGAAATAAAGTTCTTAAACTTAAAACGTACCATATCTTTATAGTCATTCAGAAATAAAGTTCTTAAACTTAAAACGTACCATATCTTTATAGTCATTCAGAAATAAAATTCTTAAACTTAAAACGTACAAGATCTTTATAGTCATTCAGAAATAAAATTCTTAAACTTAAAACGTACCAGATCTTTATAGTCATTCAGAAATAAAGTTCTTAAACTTAAAACATACCACATCTTTATAGTCATTCAGAAATGAAATTCTTAAATTTTAACTGAAATTGCACCACTTATGCAGTTTTTGTGGGGTTGGTGCATTTGTTTTTTATTTATTTATTTATTTATTTTGTTTGTTTGTTTTGTTTGTTTGTTTTTGTTTGTTTTTATTTGTTGTTTCCTTTTATTTTGTTTGGTTTTTTTTGTTTTTTTTGTGGTGGGTGGGGGTTTTTGTGTTCGGAAAAGGGGGTGCAGTTTGAACAGTTATTTGCTCTTATCATTTAATTGATTAAATATTGAAGATGTAGCGGGAAAATGAAGCATTTTATATATTTATACATACCTTTATTTACTATTTTATAGATATTTTACTGAGGTGAAGTAAAACCCGTGAAAACTTGTAGTAAGACTTCGACAGAAGTTCAAAAAAAGTCTTTTATTAAAGCAAAAGAAATATCCACGTTTATAAAAGGCAATTAACAATTATAAAAAGGGAATGTAAAATCTTCTTTTATCGTAAATTTTAGTAGAGGGGTTTCTTTGCGATACATAAATACGTATCCTGATCACTGATCACTGAGAAAATGGTAATAATAACTGTACCGGTGCTTTGCTTTTGCGCCAATTGGCATTTCATTTGCGCCAAAAAAAAACATTAATTTGCGCCACAAACCATATATCAAAATAATACATTTTCAAAAATTGGGGCAAATGCAATGCGCCCAACTGTACATATTAGATTTATTTAAATTAAGTTCTTTGTGGTATATTTCTGCAATTTAGTTAGATAATTCTTGATTACTAGTATTAAAAGTAAAACTATCAATTTAAGGTAAGCGTTACTAATTTTTTGCTAATTGGAATTTAAAAGGATCTCTATTGAGTTTGGCAATAGGTGTTGTCTAGGAGAAAATTAATATCTTAATCATCTCATCCCATTTTAAGTCCTCTTGAGAATCGTAACCGAACAACACCGATAAATAACTCATGCGCTATGCGCATTAAAATTTGCATCTGATTAATACCAAGTATGAATATTAGGGACGTTAAATTGTAGAATTGGAAGAATCTAATCCTCAATGTGCATATTAATTGTATAAAAGATTATATTTGTAATGGTTAATATGATAATGCGAGGAGAAACCGAACAATCTTTTGGTTTGATCCTCACGTTTTCCTGTAAATCCGGCAAATTCGTTCGTAGTATTATAGATATGGTTAAGAAATATATGAAAGGCAATAACTTTAACAGGCGTATCTTTTCTTTTATCTTTAGGCATTGTTTGAACCATTGTTGTAATTACACTTCTTCAATGACAAAACGTGTCTTGTGACAGCTAATAACTGAACTTAATCAAACCTTATTTCAATAAAAGACACGTCAAATGGTTTTAATTTAGAAAAACAATTATACGGGAAAATTTTTAAATAAATACTTTTAAGTTTTTTCCATTTTAAGACTAGAAAAGAGGTAAATGTTTTTCTTACATTCAAATACTCTTCAACTTTGATAAGTTTTGTATAATTGAAATAATTTGCAAGGTTGAAACGACTGAAATCGGCAACTTATTATTTTTCTATTTGAGTGCATGTAATATACTCATCTTAGATTTGATTTAAAAACAGAAATGCTACAGAAATGTATATTCCTCCACATATTACTGAGAATGACATTTTAATTGTGTAAATTGTCTATGCATTTATTTAGCAAAACAAACTTTTTTTACATGATTAAAATTACAGTCAATCAACATGCCCAACATATCCTTCTATACAGAGACAAGGTTAAGTTTTACATGTATTTGGATCAATTCTTTCTAAATTATTCACCCATATTTTACACTTTCTGCTAGCTCCCATCGGCTGTCTATTAAGCTCAAAAAGAAGTTTAGAAAATGTCAAATTTTTCCGTCGAGGTTTTTGTGGTTGTGTGATGTATTTTGGATACAATGGAAGTTTCTGTATGACTGCAACTGATCGTCTGCCTTTAGAATACCTCACATTGTTACTTGTATTGACGTCCGTGAGGTCAGAAATTGAAGGTGGTGGGGACCCTTCACACTCTTCGTTGCTTGAAGTTAATTCCATTTTATCTGTTTGTTGCTTAAACGGGTCAATCATTTTGTCCAATCTGTTCATAAAAGCTGTTGTCTTTTCCCTTTGAAGAAGTTCTGGGTCACGCATAAAAGATTTTTGTCGTGATTCGGCATCCATCTCCGGCCATTGTTCTAGTTCGGGATTTATATTAACTATTCCGTTCCTGGACAGAAAGTTTGTATGCACTTTGATTTGACGATCTTTCTCATGGGCAACTCGACTCATCGGCATATACTGCTTGGGTGTTGGTTTATGAACATGCTTTACACTGTCACGAAAGCGAAATGGTTCAAATTGAGGCATCATATCGTTACTAGTTAAAGTAACCTTTTCATCCAATGGATGAACACCAGATCCCCATTGATTAAAAATACCCAATCTTTCACTTATCTTTTCGGCGTGTCCGTTACGAAAATATGGAGAATGATTTCTGGAGTCAAGTGGCACTTTCTGTCGTGGAGTTGTTGAATTGACTAGGAACAACTCTTCTTCAACTATGCGTTCTGAACCTCTTGGTCTTTCAGAATGGATGCGTTTTTTCTCAAACCCATTATTGAGCATTAATTGTCTGTTTTGTGACTTAGTATTTTGTGTATCAGTTAGCGGTCTAATAGTTACAATCTGACGCCTGCCTGCACTGTCATGTGGAGTATTCTTATTCCATTGTCGTTCAGCTAAACTATCGATCTTTTGAAAGTAAGCTTGTCCTCTTCTGATATCAGCAAGCCTCCGATTTCTCGCTTGTATTTCCAGAAATGTTGCCTTATGTTCAGTTCGATTAATTTGAACACTCTCCGATCCCATCATTTTATCCTTGCAACAAACTGAGAAAAAGTCACATAATGATATATATATCAAGCATCAAATCCAAAATACATTTTTGCAGTCAATTCCTTTTTTTTTTTCTTTTTTTTTTCGAATAAGAAGAAACTATAGACCAAAGTTCTTTATTCAGACTTCGATTAATCAAACACTCGACGGTCTTGTAAATCTTCCGTGTCGCAAAAATAATTATAATCAATATTGACAATATTTGATAAATATCCCTGGTTTTAATATCCGTTATCAACAAATTAAAGTATGAAACGTTGACTTTCTTTAATATATTTATACAAAGTAATAAAAATATATATTGTCAAAGTATTTATAACACATTCCCATTCCACTGAATATATGTTTAATGAACAAGATTGTTAACAACTACTACAAATAACGTTATTGACAATACAACTAAAAAGTGCAAGTCAAAATTGATAGAAATCTAAATTTAAATAGAAAGAAAGGCTTAAAAGGATGGTCTTTGACCTTTGGTGAAAGAAGATATTTCCATATTAGTGACAGAACTTTTAAATGTATACAAATATAATCTATATCAGGTGACATGTTACTAGTGACTATTGGCATTGAATATAAAATTAATCATATCGTTTTACCATTGCTTAATATGATTGTAAACAAAGTTCAATAGAATTTATACCATTACACATTTCAACGTAAATTTATTGGTATTAAAAGGATTAAAGTATAAAAAAGGGGAAGGGAATATTAAATCAGTCATTCTGACACTTTTATAACAACAACATTCCAACTTCAAAATTAAAAAAACTCTCTAACCAAGTCTTAACTACTTTTTTCTTTATTCCCACTTAACTCGTGACATTTTCAACTTGTATCTTAATTCTTATTTTGTACTCTTATTATCACAGGATAAGAGGTGCGTAAATTTGAAATCTCACTCAAATCAATCCTATATAGTGTTTGAACTTTTATATTTCCCCAGATACTTCCCGATATATAATTTGTTCACGAGAAGTCAAATATGGCTGTAAATATGAATAAAAGTTTTAACGTTGTAAATATAAATAGAGTGCACATAAAAAAATAAGGATGTTCGCTATACTCTGTTTAAAAAATGACAAGCTTTTAAAAGACTGTTATAGATTGATAGAATATAAATAACAGAACAAAATGAAAGGTCCGTGTCCTTGTTTATGATGATGATGATCATGGATGGCGGCTGCTTTACGTCCAGCAGCAAATTAATATGCATATTCAGGACGAGAACGTGTTAATGTAATATGAATATTAACCGTGCTTTGTACTAGACCGACACCGTCCGGATCAGCCGGATTTTTAACGTGCTAGTTCACAAGGTAACAGCAATCGGAACTACTCGGCCTTTCTGGTTGCACGAAGAAATTATTGTATTGCATAGCGAGAATGGCCGAGTAGTTACGATTGAAGGTAACAGTCCGCAGGAAGACATGTCACCATATCCGGACACATTATTCTGACTCCGAGCCGACCAGTCTTTGCTCTAACTCCTTAATGCTGCATGCTTAGCGGAGAAGCAGCAAATACCAATTTTAAAGTCTTTGGTTTGACCCGGCCGGGGTTAGAACCCACGACCTCCCGCACTCGAGGCGAACACGCTACCAAGAAACCACCGCCTTATTTGTTAGATAAAAGCCATTTAAATTTGGCCGAAAATGAATCTCTCTATACTCGTCATACATTTAACATTGGTACCTTTTTTTCTTTCAAAACTATGAAAAAAATAACAGATTTTATAAGATTTTTGAAAAATAGCTTGTTTAACTATATATATGTGTTATAATTATGAAAAGAAAGGTATAGGGGTTAGAGGGCAAAGTTTTTAATGGCACTAAATCGAAAATCCAGAGGAATCAGAATATCTGATAAAAAGTAAAAAAAAAGAGCAGCGAACATCCTTTGGAGTGTACAAAATTTAGTGGAGTTCACTAACTTCTTTTGTATATCATTCGAGTATGCGTTGTATACGTAGGTCATAGTTTAATGTTTTACGTTATTTGTAGAATTGGGTCTTTGATCTTTACTGAATTTTTCTGCTTAATTTATTGACAAATTTTAGGGACTCGGGACGATTTTGAGCGTGACATATTGTATCGACACACATGTCTTTTGTTGAAGACTTCATGTTGCTCTCTAGATGTCTTGTTGGTTATTTGTGTGGTTGTGTGCTGTCTCATGCATGGACGTATGACCCACATCCCCTTTTATTCATATACACACAAAAAACTAGATTATGTGGAGTGATGCCGTTTCGACAGCGTTTTGCGGCGCCTTTCCCTCTTTTTTTCGGGTATACAGGGAAAAACGAATTAGGTCCGTGACCAGAGGTAAAATTTCTGAAAAAAAATGCACCTTGCAAATCGGACTCTTCAATATTGACACTAACCTGGAATCCTGATGAAATATTTTCGATTTTGCAATTCAAATATATTCGAACCGGAAGTCCGCTTACGGTATTGAGAATATTGTGTCAGGATCCCAGAATATATTGACACGTTCTTCGCATGAACGTTACACAGTAGAATTTCGCAGGAAAACGTCCCGGTACATGAAATTGTACTAAATAAAAGATTGAGTTATAATATAATGTAAAAAAAAATATTGTTCTCCTCCTCTAAATATAGAACAGTAGGTTATATGTAAAAATAGTTTAAAATGTTGTTATATACAACAAGTAGAAACATAAATTAAGGTTAGAGCATAACACAGGAAAACGCTTGTAAACAAGATTGATATGCAGTAGAGGTTAAAACACCTCTAAATAATTCATACGGACATTATTTTGATACAAACATTTATTGCAAAATAATCGAGAAAACCGCAAATGCATATGCACTTATAGAGACGACCTAATCTTATCTATAAAAATTGTTTTAAAAAATCAAAATGTGAAAGCGGATAATCATTTCAGTTTGTGAAAACGTTTTCCTTTCATGTTTTAACCCGAACAGGCATAACTTATAAATCACTATATTCACACAGAGACAATATTTGTACTTTAAAATTTCCCGTGGTGACGAATGAACGCTCGAAAAATGAAAGTTGTTGAAAATACTTAGATTTCGCGAAATCGAATCATTTAAAGCCGATGAGGAAGTCTTAGAAATTTGGTGTATGCAAAAAACTGAAGTTTCTTTAAGTTATATTATAATGTGTTTTCTCTAAAAAAAATTAGTATGCAGCAAAAAAGAAACTTCTTTAAAATGTCTATGTGACAAACTTCTAATGCAATTCTCTAGAAAAATAATGAAAATGAGACATTATGCATTTGCATGTATATTTCAAATAAAATGGTTTAATACAATTAATCAAAATAATGTGTATATGTAAAATAAATTTATGGTTTCGAAATAACTTATAATCGATGTGGTTACACACACTATTGATGTTTTAACCTTAATCATTTAAAGGGTTACTTTTCTACTTTTCTCGACTCACCAGTTATCCAACTGCGCCCAGTCTATAATTCTATAATACTGACAAGAATATATATTGTTATAGACACAATTTCGATAAATGGCATTTAAAATAAAAATACATGTACTTTATTTTGACGGATGTATAAATCGGTAGGTATAAAAGTTACATATATTATATAATTTATATTAAAATGCATTTCCACAAATTCTAGTTGAATTCAAAATTTCATAAGAATCCGAGGGCTTATCTGTTTAAGTACCTGTTACCTGAATACATATCAGGCTCAATTTTGATTTGAATGAAGATCTAGGTACACAATGATTTTTTATGTTCTTTTCTGGAACAGTGGTGTTACAGTACAACATAACGAACCAACTATAACAAGAGTGCACACGCTGAAATGTCTCACCTTCTTTACTAACCATTGATTTTATGTTGATAGTCCTGAATACAAAGCTTTACTACAAGTAACACATAAACTTAACATGATCCAAGAAAATGAGGTCAAGGTCAGATAAACCAAACGAGAAATACATGTACACCTTACAACCATTCAATAAACCAAACATAGTTGACCTATTGCTTATTGTTTCTAAGAAACAGTCTTAAACAAGAAAACTTAACATTGACCAATGAACCATGGAAATGAGGTCAAGGTCAGATGAACCATGCCAGACAGACATGTACACCTTACAATCAATTTAGGCATTAAATATAGTTGACCTATTGCTTATATATAAGAAACAAACTTAACCATGAAAACTTAACATTGACCAATGAACCATGAAAATGAGGCCAAGGTCAGTTGATACCTAACAGACAGACATATACACCTTACAATCCTTCCATACATCAAATATAGTTGATCTATTGCTTATAGTCGAAGAAAAACAGACCAAAACACAAAAACTTAACACTGAGAAATGAACCGTGAAAATGAGGTCAAGGTCAAATAAAACCTGTGAGACTGACATGTACATCATAAAATATTTCCATAACCATTTATAGTTGACCTATTGCATATAGTATTAGAAAAAAAGACCAAAACTCAAAAACTTAACTTTGACCACTGAACCATGAAAATGAGGTGAAGGTCAGATGACACCTACCAGTTGGACATGTACACCTTACAATCATTCCATATACCAAATATAGTAGACCTACTGCTTATAGTATCTGATATATGGACTTGACCACGAAAACTTAACCTTGTTCACTGATCCATGAAATGAGGTCGAGGTCAAGCGAAAATTGTCTGACGGGCATGAGGACCTTGCAAGGTACGCACATACTAAATATAGTTATCCTATTACTCATAATAAGAAAGAAATTAACATTACAAAACAGTGTTTTTCAAGTAGTCACCGAACCATGAAAATGAGGTCAAGGACAATGGACATATGACAGACGGAAACTTCGTAACATAAGGCATCTATATACAAAGTATGAAGCATCCAGGTCTTCTTGCTTCTAAAATATAAAGCTTTTAAGAAGTTAGCTAACGCCGCCGCCGCCGCCGCCGGATCACTATCCCTATGTCGAGCTTTCTGCGACAAAAATCAGTTGGAAAGGATTTGAAACATCAGATCGGAACGAAGCATAAAAACACGAAATACAAAAACACGGAGTACCGATTTAAGAGTACTAAAGATAAACACAAAAACACAAGAGTTTTTCGTGCTTATTAATCAAATTATCTATCAATGTACGAGGCCATAACCACAGGTTATAGATATCTGTCAATTTTCATATCATTGATTCATGAAAATAAATAATCAATGAATGTATATATCAATTCTCACTGATAAATAAGAGTTGCCATGCGATAAGGGACCAACTATGAAATTTTAAAGATAAGATCCGATTATAAGAATTAGGAAAAATCAACATGTCACGTACTGTTGGACCATTTAACCATGTAAAATACTGATATACGACGGTGTGACTTATTGATGTGCATTATATGTAGACCATTAAAAGAAGTATGAAAGACTATTTACACTGTTGGACTGAGCCTACTAAAAAACGACTATATGACTAAGAGTAAGTAAACCAAAACACACTTATTAACAAAGCAGGAGTGTAAAGTGATGAGGAAGCTTGCAGCATGGAAAGAACCTATAATGCACATGGCTTTGGTCTTCTCATTTGATTTTTATTCGAATGATATCTAGGTCTTGAGCCTGTTAATCTGGTGATTTCTCAGTCAACTGTGGTTAGGAGTCTAGTAAAGCTTATGATTGGTCTGTAAAACTGGCTACAAGTCAAGTTTAGCTAATGATTGCTCTGTAAAACTGTGGCCATGAGTCAAGTAAAGCTAATGATTGTTCTGTAAAATTGTTGCCTTGAGTCAAGTTTAGCTAATGATTGCTCTGTAAAACTGTCGCCATGAGTCAAGTGAAGTTTATGATTACTCTGTAAAACTGTCACAATGAGTCAAGTAAAGTTTATGATTGCTCTGTAAAACTGTGGTCAGGAGTCTAGTAAAGCTTATGATTGCTCTGTAAAATTGTGGCAATCAGTCAAGTAAAGTTAATGATTGCTCTGTAAAACTGTGACCATGAGTCAAGTAACTCTTATGATTGCTCTGTAAAACTGTGGTCAGGAGTCAAGTAAAGCTAATGATTGCTCTGTAAAAATGTCGCCATGAGTCAAGTAAAGCTAATGATTGCTCTGTAAAACTGTGGCAATCAGTCAAGTAAAGTTAATGATTGCTCTGTAGAACTGTGACAATGAGTCAAGTAAAGTTTATGACTGCTCTGTAAAACTGTGGCCAGGAGTCAAAGCTTATGATTGCTCTGTAAAATTGTGGCCAGGAGTCAAATAAAGCTTTGACGATTTCCTTGCAAAACTGTGGCATGAGTCAAGTAAAGCTAATGATTGCTCTGTAAAAATGTCGCCATAAGTCAAGCTTAGCTAATGATTGCTCTGTAAAACTGTGGCAATCAGTCAAGTAAAGTTTATGATTGCTCTGTAAAACTGTGACCATGAGTCAAATAAATCTTATGATTGCTATGTAAAACTGTAGCCATGAGTAAAGTAAATCGTATGATTGCTCTATTAAACTGTGGCCATGAGTCAAATTAAGATTTTGATTGCCCTGTAAAACTGTTGTCAGGAGTTTAATTTTACAAACATATCTTCCCATGACAAAATAATAAAAACATATATTTTTATTAAAATACATAACATATAAATTTTACAATAAATCAGATAAAATAAAAATAAAGCTTTACTAGATTACAAAATGTACTTCCATAATGCAATTAATAAAGCAAAGTTAAATCAGTATTCAAACAACCTAAATATGACAATGCAATTGATTTGTCAATACTGAATGTGTATTAAAAATCAATAAAAGCATTCATTTCAATGTGTAAAATTAAGTTTAGCCTTTCAACCAGTGTGTGTTTGTGTGTGCACATGCATAATTCATGCATGCATGTGTGTGTAAATTAAATAGATAAGCATTACAAATAAAAAAAAAATGGTAATGAATTATACTTCTATATATTTTCAATCGATTAAAATCAGATCTCTCTATGTACCAATATATATAGTAGAAAAGAGGGGAACTAGAAAATACAAACTGGACAAATTGGTTTATATAAGCAATTAATTTACTGTCAAATCTAGTTCAAACAACTGCTTTTATTTGCAAAGAGCCTATTACAAGTCAGGAATATGACTTTCAATCACTAATTGTATCAATGATAATCATTTGAAGAGATTATTCCTCTCAGTATGTGGGGACACTGAGTTTTTTTGTAATTATGTACTACATTAACATTTATTCTCTTACTAGATATATTACAACATAGAAACTTCAAAGTCATATTTCATGAGAGGAAGACTGAGACTGAAAATGGCAGGAAGGAGGGCTCTGCTGATTAGACACTCCTCCCAAGTTTCTATTTGAATTTTTAATAAAATGCTTCGCTGAGCGCAGCTGGATACGACCGCAGAGGTCCAACCCTGAACAGTTGGGGCAAAAATGGACACAATATTCGCGCTTGATACAGGTCTGAATTTGGATTGTAATTAAATATTTGACACATAATAGGTTATTGTGTGAAAACCAATGTGTCTTCGGATGACGCCGACGACGCCAACGTCATACCAATATACGACCGCAAAAATTACTGCGGTCGTATAAAAATTATTTTAAGTCTGCAAACATTAGACTGTTTATGATTGCTCTATAAAACTATGGCCATGAGTCAAGTAAAGTTTATTATTGCTCTGTAAAACTGTGGTCATGATTTTGAGTCAGGTAAAGTTTATTATTGCTCTGTAAAACTGTGGTCATGATCATGAGTCAGGTCAAATTTATGACTGCTCTGTAAAACTGGGGACAGCAGTCAAGGCCAAAAGTTAGTTGATCTACCAAAGCTGGATACCAGTATAATATTTACGAGATTCCAAAATATAGGTTGATATCACACTAAGTGGTTAATAAAGCTTCTGGTTACTATTTGGCTATTGCAGATGATTAATGATGGCCTACTTAAGCAGTATTCCTGGTCTAAAATAAGCTGATTATTTATAGTATATGGTATTGTGCTATAATAAGATAGTGAATACCTCAAAATTTACTGGTAAAAATCATCTTTTAATGGCAATTATTCCTATAATGAATCAATTGACATTTTCGGTTATACTGACTTATTTGTAGGTCTTACTTTGCTGAACATTTTTGCGATGAGAAGTTTCTGTCTATCATAGTTTCTGCAAAAAATTTTAAAATTGGTAAACAACATCTTTGAAGGGCAATAACTCCGATAAGGAATCAATTGACATTTTTGGTCATGTTGACTTATTTTTAGGTCTTACTTTGCTGAATATTTTTGCTTTTTTGAACTTTTTCTTTATCTACAAAAGTTTTCAAGATAACAACCAAAAACTGAGGAATTTTATAAAAATTATTATTTCAGGGGCAACAACTCCAAATTGGGTTGTCCGATACATCTGAAAATTTCCTCTTATAGATCTTGACCTGCTGATCATTTTTACCCCGTCAGTTTTGCTTTAACTGCTTTAATTTTTTAGATATTTTTTCCTATGTTCTATTTTTAGCTGTGGTGACCATGTTTGTTTGTTGTTATATCATAATATAATTTGTGTTAAGGCTTAAGCAAAATTGGTGTATACATTGGAAACATTTTGTTGTGTAAGCCAACCGTGATAAATCACAATCATCAAATTTTGACATAGGGTCTGACTGGCCTCAGTGAACAATAATAATATATTAATCATTTATGTTTTCTAATCCAATGGAAGTCAAATTTTCTTTAAAAAAAAGATCTTGTACTTTTAAGGAACTATAATTTCATTTTTTTTTTTTTTATTTTAAAAGATTTTATTCTGAAATACAATTAGTTTTACAGTTTTTGTAATCTATGCACTGATGAAACTACTGAAACAAAAAAGATTTATTAATTTCCTGAGTAATTATTTGTATGCAAAAAAAAAATAATGAATGAACCAGAACAAAGGATTTAAATGATCCAGATGATATCAAAACAGAAAATTAAAAAAAGCACAGAGCAAAAGATTTCAACCTCTTGTATATAATCATTTTGAAGAGATTCTAAAATAGGAAAAGGATGAAATCCTAAAAAGTGCAACAGAAAGTATATATATTGTAAGAAAACATTGTCTATAATTCATATTAACATAAATGACAAAGTCCATGTACTAATTACAAAAACCCTGAAACTGTTTTTTAAAGCAAAACTTGAATAAAAGAAGCAAAGTGTTTTGCAAGGGAAAACCCCACATAAAATCATTCTTATCCAAAAATAATAATGACGATTAACAATGCACCTAAGTACTGAAAAATCTCAGTTTCCCTGAATTCTGTTGGTTTAGATTGAGATGTGTACAGGAATTTTTCACCTATATAATGTATTGATTGATTTAGTTGCTTGCTTAACATCCAGTAGCAATTTATAATGTATATAAAATAGTTTAAAGGGGCATTAGCTACGAGATATAAAAAAAATAAAATATGATTTCTTTTTGTTCAATCATTAATGAAAGTGAAAGAGTGGAATAGTAATTCGCTTTTATCAGCCAGTTTGGTTCAATTTTGTCAAAATAAGCAAAGAAACATAGCTAATGAATTATTCACTTGCAAGTGAATAATTCAACCTCATTGAATCTGTATTCATGTGAACTTTAATAGATCCCTATAGCTAGATATGGATTACGCATGAACTAGGCATGTTTAGTTATTAAATGGAAAAGAATGTAAATATTGGAAGTGAAACAAGGGTAAACAATTTGGTTGACTGATTCGATCTAGAAAAACTCATTCTTATACAGGTAAAAACCATTATTAACATATTTTTTTAACCTATAATATGAAATCAAACAGACTTAGAAAAATCCAATTGCACGAGTTCGCAATCTATTTATATCTATATTAATGTTTATATTGGGTTATATAACCATCGGCAGTCTTTGGAGGTCACCTCTATGGTTTTTAGATGGCATCTGGACTAAAATACACACGAAATGCTGATTCATAAAATCGAGTCTACGCTTCTTAAATTGTTTATTTTAGACTTTTTATAATTTGGATATGTGTTTTAGTATGTTATAAGTCGAATGTAGGAATTTTGAGTCAAATCGGTGAAAATGAATTTGACAGCTAATGCCCCTTTAAAATCCAAATAAGTAGGTTTAATAAAGCACAAATTATGCCCCTATTTCTAGGATTTGGCTTTTATCACAATAGGAAAAGTTGCTTATTGACATTCTTTTAATGACATCAAACAATCATAATTTTTTTTAAATCTTCATTAAAATTAAAGACAACAGGCCTATTTCCATTGGTGTTGAATACCTAAATACAAGCAGCAAATGCATCAACAACAAAATAATTAAACCTTATGTTTATTATAACAAATAACCCTTTTAACTTTCATATTTAGTTTGTCGAAACCTGTGCTCTGTTTTCTAGAATATAATGTGATTGTAAACCAAATTTTGTTTTCTTTCACAAAAAAATTTATTTTTGGCTTATTTGAAGTGTAAATCGTACTGATATACAAAATATATTTTCCTTAAAGTTTAAAGAGTAAGTTTTAATGTCCATATAACTAAATGTAAAACAGGCATATTCAAATTAAGAATATATATCACATTTAATATTGTTCAAATTATGCTCAAGTATAAGATTACTCCTAGCTGTTGATAAATTCATGATTCTTCAGTTCTATCTCTTACAAGGTAAATGGTGCAAGTATAGTTTGTCACGAGAATCAATAATCATTATATTCAATTACATGAATTGACTACCAGTATCTCCTTCAACGTAATCTTGCAAACTCTCAAATGGATCTGTATGTGGCGTCCTGCAAGATATATTTTCATTTTAATAATTCATATTATTTTTACACCTACAATAAATATATTGCCTTCCATACCTTAAACAATCTTTCATTCAAACGTAATTATCTCTCTGACTATCTTAAAGTCAGAAAAAACTTCTAAACAATGTACAGTATTCTAGTCTTACTACAAGTGTTTGAAAACTATTATAGGATAGATTGTGTTCATAGCCTAAATCACTAATGAGTGTTCAATAATTTTTACTGGACAAAATGGACTTCTTCCCATGCAAAGCAAAATAGGTTGAAAATGATATATATGCTCTTTCTGGTAGCTCTTCATTGTCAATGACAAATTATTTTCCTCCTAAGAGAAACAACTCAAAAATGTATATGATCTCTTATTACAGGGTCAATTATGGAATTTGCAAATAAACTATTATACTTCTTGTTTCTTTTTCAAAATGTCTTTTTACACATTTTTTTTTCAATATCTATATTAAAAAAGAGTGGTTTGTGATTTCAAAAATACATTTTAGAGCCATTTGTTTTAGTGGTGTCTAAAGGTCGAAAATAAAGAAAATAGACTCTGCATGGAGTCTGCATACCTCTTTCTTATAAGCAGTTCCTGAATTAATTCTGAGTCATAATTCTCTGCAGAAAAAAAGGAGTGATCAGCACTTTTTGAGTTGGAGTATTAGCTAGCAGCAAATAATCTGCTAGTACAATCAACAGCAGGAGTACAGGATTCAAAGTTTACTTTGTGGAGTTCAGTGAAATGAAGGGGTCATATAAATATTTATTGAAAAATTAGTACTACACCAGTAATATATGTACACACCGTTGGTATGATGTCAAAGATTATTACATTGTATTTTACTACTTAATAAATGTAATGTTACATTGGTCAGTATAAACAGGTTATCTTACCTGAAAATAATATAGTAATATATGCCTTCTGTGATGTTACCTGTATAAAGTGATGTATACACAGGTAAGCTTATGTCAGAAAGTTTGGAAACCAAGTCCTCTTACAAAAAGATAACATAATTTATCAACGCTTGAGAAATTGGTCAATGTTTTTCTCCCTTGGGATCAGAGGTGCCAGTATATACTGGTTACCTTACCTGAGAAAGTTTTGTAATCTCCTTCTTCTTTGATGTCGTCTGTACAAATATAATGATGTAACAGCCAAAATACAAAGGGCAACAACTCCAAACAAAACACCAAGAACTACATCTAATGTTGTCGCTGAGAATAACTGACTTTCTTTGTATACAACCTCCGGACCAGAAGATGTTGTACTGCCTCCTTGGATTTCTGAAGAAGAAAAATATGGATTTCTGATAATTAAATATGTGATTCTTCCAGGAATGTGTATTACCTGCTATCGCAAAATAATATGAGCGGAAATGTCAAAGTCCTTTTTTTAGTATGGGATACCTTAAAATCACTGAGATAAAAATCTAAGTAGATTCTGTGTATGTTTGGTTAAATTCTAGTGTTTTCAAAGAGTTCTGGCTTAATATAAAATGTGATGGGAACAATGCAGACAACATTATGACAACCAAGCACGAGGACAAGAACGATCCTTTAACGTTGCTATAGCTTTGCTGTGAAGAGATACAAAAAATAATCTATATCATGGCACATCAAAATATCAATTTTTTCTTCATTGATTTAGAAATGTAATCTTTTAAAAGAAATTTACAGGTATGAATGTTAAATGTAAAATAAATCAAGAACTTTAAGATACTAGATGCAGAATAGATATAAAAAAAATCTTGCTTAACAACAATTTCAAAAATGATCTATTGGTTCAGCAAACAATTCTAAATGTTCATAAACAGTTTGATCATCTTTCAGTAGAACCATTATACAGATTGAAACTTGGCAGAAGAATATGTTGTGCTTAACCCTTTCCTTTACGGAGAATTTTTTTTTTTATTTCGCATAGGATCCTTCAATCAAATGTGAATAATAAACATTAACTTACTTTAATGAAATAAAAAAACTTTAGAAAAAATAATGACAGTGATTAAAACAGGTCATCATTTTAAATAATAATGTACAGCGAAAAAATTATTTTGTTAAGGAAAATAAAGTCAGATATTGTGTACAAGATAAAGGCATCAAAAGGTGTCACTATGGAGTAAAGAGGGGCATCAAAACACATCATTGTGATGTAAAGAAGATGTTTCAAAAGGCATTATTATGGAGGAAAGTGGGAGATAATATTATAAAGATTACCAGTTAAAACTTAAAATGGATTATTTCCAATACATTACTTGATATAGAAAACAGACAGATAATTCATATGTTCTTATCACAAAACTAAAAATATTAATATAGTGTAGCATCATTATAGAAACTAAATATCAATAATTGGTAAAGCATATATAGCCATATTATAACCCTCAACTTAAAAAAATTCTCATACCTCTACTTGTGACAGGAATGCTTTGTTTAAAAGAAAAAAAGAAGGATGGGGGGGGGGGGGGGGGGTGTAATGTGAAAATACACAATTAACAGCACCTGGTGGTGATTTATAGCCTGTCCAATTAATAGGTATGGTTTTGTCTTTTCAAATATGTAAGTCAAAGCATGATCATTACCTGTTTTGAATGTGCATTTATTAGATGATAGAACATCATTGCATTCTACAAACACATTATAACTTGTGCCTGGCTGTAAATGTAGAATGGTGATATTTGTATGTCCTTGAAAATCTGTCTGATCTACACATTTTTTTTCTTTAGTTTCTGTTTGAACATAACATAACATACATGGTAAGTTCAGTGGCTGGTTTGGCTCACCATGCTTTTTTATCATCAAGGTCACTTGGTTGGTTTGTATTGCTGTAACTGTGACAACCACTTCTGACGCAAATTTCCCAGCTGCAATACATATATATGTCACTGAAAAAAAAGATTATCCGACTTCAAGCATGTATTATTTATAAACTATAAACTCATGGTAAATCCATCTATAAAAATAGATGATGGGACCTTATAAATAATTTCATCCCATGCTGATCAGAACTATATGTAGGTGCAAAAAATATAGCTGGCATGTCATATAAATATAATACATTTGTACTGATAGAGGGGAATCTGTAAGCTCCCTGACCATTTTATATGCTGATGTCCTAGGTATTGTTGCCTTATTGCAAATATGAATTACAAACTATTAAAATATTTTTGAGCTAATTTAGCTGTGTAAATTCACCAAAACTAAAACTTGTGTGATAGTTATTATTAATCAAATTCTTAAAGCTTTAAAAGAAATGATCTCAGAAAATGTGAATATTTGCCAAGCTTTTATGACACAATCTGTCTGTGATGTCATGAAATGAAGAGACAAATTTTGAATAAATATATTTAAAAAAGGGCACAATTGCCAACCAAATTATTCTTGTTAGGGAATATATAAACACAAAATACACTAACTGTGTTCCATGGTATTTCTAAGCATGTGCAAGCCGAAAAATTCACGGTTTGCACAATTTTGTCAATTACCTGTATAACACATGAAAAGAGCATATTTCAAACCAAAACTGTTGTGTTTTATTAAAGTACATTTACAAAGAATAAAACTTTTGACTGTTCAAATAATAGATACATGTAGTATGACATACATTTGATTTTAAGGCAAATTTACCCGAGGGATTTTTCAGACAAAGTTAAAAATTGAAACCTGTCCAATATCACTGCACCAGGGACTAGTAAACAATCCCAAACTGCACAGAGATTTTTCGTTTATACACTACTTTTGAGTTCCTCAATTTGAGGTGCTTAAGGGATACTGACCAAATTTTGTATTGCATTTTTTATCAAAGGATTTTAATATTACTATCAAAATTCTTGTTTTGTTGCCAAATCGTTATTAATTGTTATTTTTTAATGATAAAATATAGAGAAAAAAAGTAAAATATAGCAAAGAAAAAAAAACAGGTGCCAATTTGTCTTAGTGCCATAGTGTTTTGCTACCACCAAATCATTTACCAACTGTTTTGGAAAAGTTTAATTAACAAATGGGAAGCATGGAAAATATAAAAAAAAGTGATTGTTGTAAGATGTCAAGTGTTGCAAATTCTTGGGTCAATTGTTGCAGATTCCCAAATAGTGACATTAAGCCAAATTATTTAAGGTTATTTAAGGTTCATCATAACAAATGGACAAATATGGCCGTATTTTCACCTTAAAAACTACTCTGTGTACAGGCTTACCTGTGCAGTTTGGAAAGTTTTAAGGCCTGGCATCCACTAGATGTATAAAAGTTAAATTTATTTTGCATATCAGAAATATAAAATCTTTTTTGGATTATGATGGGCATTTTTTTTCCGTTCCTGCTGAAGGTGTAAAAATAAACTAGTTGGGATATAACTTTGAGATGCTCCATCTCAGGTAACAACTGATTTGGATTGTATTGATTGTCCTTGATTGACATGTACAATAGATATCTACACATCTATAGGTGAGTTAAAGGTAGTAACTGAGTGGACAGTATCAAATGCAATTCAGGTGTTTGTTTATTTTTACACCTTCTGCAGGAAGGAAAGAAAATGCCCATCATATTCAAAAAAAGATTTTATCTTTCTGATATGCAAAATAGATTTAACTTTTATATATCTAGTGGATGCCAGGCCTTAAAACTTTCCAAACTGCAAAGGTAAGTCTGTACACAGAGTAGTTTTTGAGGTGAACATACGGCCATATTTGTCCATTTGTTATGATGAACCTTAATTGAAATAAAGTTTATATTTTAATGGTCACTGAAAGAGGAAGAAGAATCAATATGTTTGTAAAGCAGAGGACAGCAGCGCAGTCTATTAGTTTTGTTACATGTATTTATCCAGAAGTATCACATATCTAAACGTTAATGCGAGATTCATACTAAATAACAGATGAATTTTCTTTTATACCTATGCACTGAATGACACAGAAATATGAGAATTCCATGTCGTTATTTCGTTTGCAGGATATTTCTATGGAGGTTTATGGTTACTTTTGGACATGTTCAGTTTGAATTCTACATTGTTGTTGTGGTGATTGTTTACTGTTGGTATGAATTATAATATGCGAGGGTTATGGAAAACTGCAACAAAATCCCTCAAAGCTTTGTTTACTTCCGTTCAAATACATTCGGAACTGCTCGTTACTCGTCGATTATTTATCACTAATAACTCAAAGTATGTCCCGAGAGTAATATTGTCATTAACAGAATATTAGCTAAGCTGTGGTGAAGGCAAGAGTGATTTATGTATGTTGTCATGCATATTTGAAATAATGCAGTGTTCATTTATGATATATTAGATAAAGCAAACCCTTTTATATGCAATTGCCGTTTTTGCAAAATAATTACCATTGCATAGTCAATTTGGTACTATGATCTACCTTTTGACCTTTCAGTTTGAACTATTTGTGAAGGCATCTTTTCTGTCCTGGCAGCTTTCAAAGCTGAAAATAAGGGAACACACAACTAACTCCATGCCATATTGATGTCCACTGACATACAACATGACTTTTATCATGCTTATGCTGTAATCTATTGTACTGTCCAATATTTTTGATTCCTTAATTATCCTTCATAAGTATTATTTAAACAACTTTTCAACAGAGCAGCGAACTAAAACTACAAGTATTTAAGTGGTTATAAAAGTAACATACATGCAAGTAAAACTTGTAAAAATTGCTCGTTGAAAGTGGATGAAGTGATTTTGCCAAAGTGAAAGTAGGTATATAAGAAGTTACATTTGTAGCTATCAGCATTTATTTTTGACTTAAAAATTTCAATCTTTGGTTGATAAGAGGAAGCAAGAGAAAAAAGTGTCAGTTTTTTCGTAGAGATATTTAATTAATAATCTTCTGCAAGCATGTATGCAGAAAAACTGAGTTTTAAGGAATTGATGGAAATTTCATTGTGTTATCATAATGGCAGTGTCTGCGCGTACCCGCATGCGGGTACGAATAGTCAAATTGCCATTCGTAGGCTACGCGTACCCACATCCGGTTTTATAATAAAATGCCATCGAATCGGGAATGAAACGTGAAATATATACAGAAATTATCGATAATATGGGGATTTCGTGTAGAACGAATGAAGAGTATGAAAAATAATATTTTCAACTTGTATTTATTAGTTAATAATACATAATAAACATTGCAAATTAAATGCACACTGATTGAAAATGAAAATAATGCCCCCGACTTCAATTTTCTATTTCTGTTTTCTTTTTACTTATTTTGCTGTTTTTCCTTTTTTATTATTATTATCAATGTGCCACCCGCATTAAAAAAAATGAAAATATCAGCATGAAAACTTTAAATAGTGAATATATAATGCAAAGGCATATATTATAGGACTACCTGTAAACATGAAAAAAAAATTAATATTAAATATTATTAAATGTAAATTCAAATTTAAAGACTTAAATTTTACTGAATTTGAAAAATACCTATATGAGATTAAAAAATAATCTTTGAGTAAAATGTAAAACAGAAACTGAAATTTTAAAATATCTTAAACGACCAAAATTAAAGCTTGGGTGTCTATATAAAAATTAAAGAGGCAAGTTATAAAGGCTTCAAATTAAACCAATTTTAAAAGATTCATGTAAGTAAATTGAGATTTGGAACAAATTTTTAATATCCAATAGGATTGTTTTGGCACATATTTCAAATGTTGACAGTCCAAACAACAATCACAGGCCAAAGAGTCCTGATCGTGTAGGTTTTTTGGACATTTGATACATGTCCATTCGCATGATTCTCTTCTTTAGTTGATCCGAATTTTAAGTTGCTTCCACGCTTCAGAGGTAAAATATTTCAAGTTTGATGCGCTGAAGGTTTACATTTTCGTCAAATATTTTGTTATTTATTAATGAAGCTTCTAGAGGATTATTGGCATCGGCCTTTCTTTTATCGGAAATAATGTATTATGCCTTTTTCCTGTCGAACTTGTTTAGAATTTTAGAATACAGGAAAAATTTATTCTGTTAAACTTTAATTCCTCTTTTATTTTTGTGTTTCCAGTTCTTTTTTTTCTCTGCAGCTGTAAATGACTCCGAGTTTGTTTTATACAATTGTATAAAATTAATCGACTGATAGTTTTAAACAAATTGTTCCAATTCATGACAACTTTGAAATGTCTTCCCCACATGTATATCACTCTCTTCCATTTTTAGAATATTTATTAACTGAGAAAAACTGTTCACTTACCTATATATAAATATTTATGAAACTTCTAAGTAGTTTTAATCAATTTATTCACTAATTCAGTAATTGCGATAATTTCCGTATATATTTCACGTTTCATTCCCGATCCGATGCCATTTTATTATAAAACCAGATGCGGGTACGCGTAGCCTACGAACGGCAATTTGGCTATTCGTACCCACATGCGGGTACGCGCAGACACTGCCTATCATAATAGATATAAGAAGATGTGGTATGAGTGCCCAAGTGAAAATTTATCATCATACTAAACACTTATCAAAGGTGGTATATATATTTAAAATAGTGAGACTAGATATAACACTCAATAAGTAAACATTCAATAACAATAAGTTTATTTGAATGAGTGATATTTGTTGATACAATTTTTTTTTTGGTAGTAATTTTTTATACAAGTAATATCTAATTAAACTTAACACCATTTATATGTGTATGATAACATGCCTAGAACTTTCCCCATGCTATTAAAAACTTGATATATACGTACATGATGTAAGAAGATACATGTACAAACTCATTTATACATTTGTATTATGTTTTGTAAATATATTTTAGACTCTTGTGCTGGAAAAAAGGTTATTTTATTTGTCTTGATCATGTTTATACCAGAGTACAACCAGCCAAGAACTTATACTAGTAATCTTAGTACTATAATACTTAAAAGAGCCCTGACTAACAAATGGCAGTGAAAAGTAAGCACAATTCAGATAACATTTGTATTTTTGTAGAACATTGTTTCAACATGGGATCTGTGATAGGAAAAGCAATGGATGACAATATGAAAAAGCAGCAAGAATTCATGTTAGAGACCCAAAGATTACAGGTAATAAATGTTTAAAAACATAGACTCCTAAATTGTAATTTGAAATTAAAATTTTTATTTCCGTGAGCTTTTGCATTTACAGTAAAACATTAACCTAGGCCAGCTTTTCTTGTTCGTTTCAAGTAGCAAATGCAAGTAATTCTATAACTACAGATAACATAAATAAATTGTGTTTATACTGCAACATCATGTGTGTACAAAACTAGAGGCTCTAAAGAGCCTGTGTCGCTCACCTTGATCTATGTGCATATTAAACAAAGGACACAGATGGATTCATGACAAAATTGTGTTTTGGTGATGGTGATGTGTTTGTAGATCTTACTTTACTGAACATTCTTGATGCTTACAATTATCTCTATCTGTAATGAACTTGGCCCAGTAGTTTCAGTGGAAATTATTTGGTAAAAATTTACAAAATTTATGAAAATTGTTAAAAATTGATTATAAAGGGCAATAACTCCTTAAGGGGTCAATTGACCATTTTGGTCATGTTGACTTATTTGTAGGTCTTACTTTGCTGTACATTATTGCTGTTTACCGTTTATCTCTATCTATAATAATATTCAAGATAATAACCAAAAGCTGAAAAAATTTCAAAAAATTACCAATTCAGGGGCAGCAACCCAACAACGGGTTGCCTGATTGGTCTGAAAATTTAAGGGCAGATAGATCTTGACCTAATGAACAATTTTGTTTTGAAAGATTTGCTCGAAATGCTTTGGGTTAGATATATGAGCCAAAAACTGCATTTTACCCTATGTACTATTATTAGCCATGTCGGCCATCTTGGTTCGCGGGCAGGGTCATCAGACACAATTTTTAAACTACATACCCTAATGATGATTGTTTACAACTTTGGTTAAATTCATCTTAGTAGTTTCAGAGGAGAAGATTTTTGTAAAAGATAACAAAAATTTACGAAAAATTGTTAAAATTGACTATAAAAGGGCAATAACTCCTTAAGGGGTCAACTGACCATTTTGGTCATGTTGACTTATTTGTAGAACTTACTAGAATATTCCAGTTACATATGACACCTTTCATTTCATTTTTGTTGTTCCAGAGTTATCCACCTTAATATCTCATAACTGAAGTCAAAGAGGTTAAAAATACCAATCCCATGGAAAAATTTGATACTGTAAAAAAATGATAGGATCAACTTAATTCAGGATGAGTTTGAATTTGATACATACATGTGCATTGTTTCACAATAGTATATCTAGAGTTAATGCGGAAAAAAGTGTTTCTTTTGAATACTTTGAGAATAGTTCAACAAAATCACTGCTACATTTCAAAACAATTCCAGGATCCACAAAACACAGGTTAAGTTCAAATTGTAATTAACAAGTTATACCCTTACTAAAACAGAATATATGTGGTTTCCACCTAATAACTTGATAACTTGCCTGTGCTTTCAAAAAAAATAATTTACAATTTTACCACAATATCTAAGAAACCACTAGAGACATGATGAGCTGCAATTTGAAACATTTAACAAATGTTCTCCAATACCAGACACACTATCTTCATGATCTTCACCATATTCAATATATTTACTCTGTACAACACCTACAAATGACCTATACCTTTTTACTTATATCTACTACATGCACATGTATTAAGTATCCTTGTGTCTTGTGTCAATATGAGGCAAAGGAACATAGACAATACTGGTTGAACACAGAAATACTGTAAACAACAACAAAGTCAATCATGGAATGTTCATTGTTTACTCTTTTTCCTTTTAGGATGTTAAATTATTTTTAGCTCACTTGGCCCAAAGGGCCAAGTGAGCTTTTCTCATCACTTGGCGTCCGTTGTCCCGCGTCCGTCGTCCGTAAACTTTTACAAAAATCTTCTCCTCTGAAATTACTGGGCCAAATTTAACCAAACTTAGGCACAATCATCATTAGGGTATCTAGTTTAAAAAATGTGTCCGGTGACCTGGCCAACCAACCAAGATGGCCGCCATGGCTAAAAATAGAACATAGGGGTAAAATGTAGATTTTGGCTTATATCTCTGAAACCAAAGCATTGAGAGCAAATCTGACATGGGGTAAAAATGTTTATCAGGTCAAGACCTATCTGCCCTGAAATTTTCAGATGAATCGGACAACCCTTTGTTAGGTTGATGCCCCTGAATTAGTAATTTTAAGGAAATTTTGCAGTTTTTGGTTATTATCTTGAATATTATTATAGATAGAGATAAACTGTAAACAGCAATAATGTTCAGCAAAGTAAGATCTACAAATAGGTCAACATTACCAAAATTGTTAATTGACTCCTTAAGAAGTTATTGTCCTTTTAAGTCAATTTTTAACAATTTTTCGTAAATTTTTGCAATCTTTTACAAAAATCTTCTCCTCTGAAACTACTTACACAAATTTAACCATACTTGGCCACAATCATTATTGGGGTATCTAGTTTTAAAAATGTGTCCTACGACCCCGCCAGCCAACCACCATGGCCGTCATGGCTAAAAATAGAACATAGAGGTAAAATGCATTTTTTTGCTTATATCTCTGAAACTAAAGCATTTAGAGCAAATCAGACGTGGGTAAAAATGTTCATCAGGTTGAGATCTATCTGCCTTGAAATTTTCAGACAAATCAGACAACCCATTGTTGGGTTGTTGCCCCTGAATTGGTAATTTTAAGGAATTTTGCAGTTTTTGGTTATTATCTTGAATATTATTATAGATAGAGATAAACTGTAAACAGCAATAATGTTCAGCAAAATAAGATCTACAAATAAGGACAAAAATTGTCAATTGACCCCTTAAGGAGATCTGTGTTTAATAATTAACCACATGATTTCAAAATTTGAAATTATTTTGATTAAGCGAACTTCAATTATAAAATGGAAACAATTTTATAAGATATATATAGTGGGTCTAAGCGTGATGCCGGATTGGCTGATTTTTTGTAAGCGTGACACGTGAAAGTCAAATTATTGTGCTTGAAAATGGGAAAAAAAGTTGGGCGGGACATGTGAAATTACAAGCGTTATTATTACAATGGTAAGCGGGATATGGGAATCTGACAAAACAATAAGCAGGATCCGGGATCAGACCCCCTATATACATGTAGATGTTTGGACAGACAAAGGTAAAACTTGAGAAAAGAAAATGTGTATAGTATTGTATATCCACCTAGTAAGTCTTTTATCATATTTAACCATTTGCATTTTTTGAGAATTGCTTCAGGGATAGAAATGAAAATAAGATTTTGCTCAGGACGTTTTTTTTTGTTTTATGATTTAAAAGTAGAACACATTGAATTTTGTTGCCTTACAGTTTGTTATAATGTGACAAAAAAGTTCCGCTTTACTTTAGATGGAACGACAAATACACATGCAGAACCAGATGAGAGAAAGAATGATGGCCATGCAGATAGCTGGAGCAAGGGACATGTTTTTGTGGTTTGCTTCTTTCTATGCAATAGCAACACCTGCAATGATTGTTGGGTAAGTAACTAATACATTTACAAAATGTACTTACTATGGAAACAATGATTGTTGAGTTAAGTAACTAATACTTATTATGTAAATTGTATTGGTGACCATTTACACAGCTTGAGTCGGTAGTACTATTCTGGGGTTCTACTGCTATGATTTTTAGAAAGATAAATGTTAAGAATACAGTGACATATAGGGTACTGGAGCAGGATATGTTGTATTGCTGCTGATTTTGTACAACTCTTGGTTAGGTACTATTGTAACAGAATTGTGGTCATTTAGATAGGTAGAGTTTGGATTACCTGTTTCTATCACTTTACAACACCTGCCATGATAGTTATGTAAAAAACCATAGCAACACTTTCGGGGCCATGCAGATATAGCAACTACTTTCATTGACTTCTAAAATTTGATTTGGTGTAATTTTATGGCACTGGTCAGTGAAGCCTACAGTCTTAGGTTGGTACTGGTCAGTGAAGCCTACAGTCTTAGGTTGGCACTGGTCAGTGAAGCCTACAATCTTAGGTTGGCACTGGTCAGTGAAGCCTACAATCTTAGGTTGGCATTGGCCAGTGAAGCCTACAGTCTTAGGTTGGCACTGGGGTAAACATAGAAGTTGTTAAAACAATGAAAATAAGTTGAATTTTAGATTCAAAGATATCCTATGTGTCATTACCCATCATGTTTATATTCAATTTTTGTATAAAAGTCACACAGGTTTAATATTGATATCTTGGTATAGGACACACACAGGTTTAACATTGATATCTTGGTATAGGACACACACAGGTTTAACATTGATATCTTGGTATAGGACACACACAGGTTTAATATTGATATCTTGGTATAGGACACACACAGGTTTAATATTGATATCTTGGTATAGGACACACACAGGTTAAGATATCTTGGTATAGGACATATACAGGTTAAGCTATCTTAGTATAGGGCACCCAGGTTGAGATATCTTGATAAACGACACACACAAGTTAAGATATCTTGGTATAGGGCACACACAGGTTAAGATATCTTGGTATAGGACACACACAGGTTAAGATATCTTGGTATAGGACACACACAGGTTAAGATATCTTGGTATAGGACACACACAGGTTAAGATATCTTGGTATAGGACACACACATGTTAAGATATCTTGGTATAGGACACATACAGGTTAATATATCTTGGTATATGATACACACAGGTTAAGATATCTTGGTATAGGGCACACACAGGTTAAGATATCTTGGTATAGGACACACAGAGGTTAAGATATCTTGGTATAGGACACACACAGGTTAAGATATCTTGGTATAGGACACACACAGGTTAAGATATCTTGGTATAGGACACACACAGGTTAAGATATCTTGGTATAGGACACACACAGGTTAAGATATCTTGGTATAGGACACATACAGGTTAAGATATCTTGGTATAGGATACACACAGGTTAAGATATCTTGGTATAGGACACACACAGGTTAAGATATCTTGGTATACGACACACACAAGTTAAGATATCTTGATATAGGTCACACACAGGTTAAGATATCTTGGTATAGGACCCACAGAAGTTAAGATATCTTGGTATAGGACACACACAGGTTAAGATATCTTGGTATAGGACACACAGAGGTTAAGATTTCTTTGTATAGGACACACACAGGTTAAGGTATCTTGGTATAGGACACACACAGGTTAAGATATCTTGGTATAGGACACACACAGGTTAAGGTATCTTGGTATAGGACACATATACATATATATTATATGTATTTATGTACATGGTACATTTAAAAGTGTCAATGAATATACTAGTTAAAGAAAGTATATATCCCCACCCCTAAACCATATATATTCTGGTTTGTCATGATAAAGCACATCAAATATATAACACTCATATATATAGGGGTGTCTATATTAGGTAACACCAAGTTGTTAACTATTTTCTATAACTTTGATTAAGCTAATATATCTCAGTTCAACTCTAAGATACTAAATTACTCTGTATCTGAGAACTTAACACTTTTAAAATATGTTAGATGAATTAATTTTGAGAAACCATATAATGCATGACATTTGTAATTATTTAAACATTATATGCACCATAATTTTGTCAAATTGCATATTTTTTCAGAGCAGCAAAGACACAATCTAAAACACCATTGGCTCCAATATTGCCTTTGACCTTCATCGTAGCATACCAGTATGATATGGCATATCACTCAAAGATAGAAAGAATAAGAGGTACGATTACAGATACTAATACAACATCTGACCAGAACAAATTGATGGTACTTTTTTCCAAAAATAACCAATATAATTGTAAGAAAATTGAAGGCTTTTCTTTCTAAAGCTATTGCACTGTTATGTAAAATTGAAACCATCTAACTATCCCATTCTAGTGATTGAAATAATGTTTCATGAGAAGTTTAGAAAAAACACCTAGTTATTATCTAAATGGTTCTCTTGTATTAAAGTTTCACTTAGATGTGAAAATTCTATTTTAATGACAGTTTATAAAAAATAATTGTAGACAACTAATTGGGTAGGCAGAGTATAATAAGAGCTTTTATCATTCACTTGGAGCAGACATACAGAGAATGAATTATCATTTATTGATAGTCCTTCTCCATTAAAAATATACTGGAAGTTTATGTGATGTATATTTTCAGCTGAAGCAGACAGAATTATGGACGATGAACAAGGATTACTATGTATTCCACACGGTGTTCCTACAATGCAGTCAATAGAAGCAGCCAGGCTTAAACAGAAAGACAAGGAAAGATTGTTAGGAAATGATATCTGGATGTAAATAAGTCATGTGATGTGTCATGTGATCTGAGAGTCTGTTAGTTATTCCATTCTAGATAAGTAATATGTCTGTCTGGTTGTTGTAACTGGAGCATTCTCTGTGCACTGTTAGATTTTATATGTATATGAACTTTTTATGAATGTTTGAAGTGAATATTTGTAACTTAATAAAATGAAGCAGGATTTTATGAAAGTTATATACAAATGTATGTCCTTTCTATAAATTTGTATTGCTATTAAACTGGTGTGGTGAAATAATCAAAATATTTACAGTGAAATTTAGTCTCACAAACAAATGATGACCTCTTACCCCTCATATTATTAATGAAAAAATCTGCCAAATGTCTTAAGTGAAATTGTTTTGAGCTGAGAATGAAGTTGAGGAATATGAGAGTACCTTTTACTTCCAAATCATATGTGTATGAAGGTCTGAATTTGTAGATATAGGCTTCTTTGTTTTGAATGCATATGTGTCATATTATAAAGATGCATATTATAAGTAGATATGACATCAAATTTAATAATGTCAGGTACGAGAAAAATTTTGAACTTGCATGCTGGTGCAACTTGATTAAAGATTTCAAGTTTAAATAACTTTTAAAAAAATTATATTTTGGTTTATACATGTATATCATAGAAATGTGGTGTAATTTAAAAATGACAATTGTATTGTATAGTAGTGTATTTGTAAATGCCTTTATGATAGAAGGTCATAGTGACCTATATTTTGCACTTTAGTGACTGTTTAATCTCAGAATCCCATGATGATAATTTTGTCAACAAATGAAACATTAACTTTTTCAATTTTATACTTTCTTCATGAATAATCTATAGCTTAACTACATAAATTTGCTGTTTGGTTTCTTGCAACTTTTGTGATTCTTTTCATTTACAAGTACTATATGTATAAAGTAACAATGTTCTATTTGTGCAAAACATGACTATTTTCCTTGATGATATTACAAGTACATTTTATATCAAATTAAACTATGACCTTGACCCCAAATTCAAGGTCATAAAGCAAGGACCTCAATTGAAATGACCCTAGGTATCTACTACATATTGAGATATATCACCATACAACTAATTTCAAATATGAGAAGGGAGACAACTCATTAATAATGTCAACGTACCCTTTCAACCAAAATTTACGTTAGGAAATGTTGCAACTGACAATAGTAAAAATATTTTGTAGATATTTTATACAATTTCCAAGGAGTTGCCATTATAAGCAAAAGACAAAATTTAGAACATGACCTTGACCTCAATTTCCTTTTGGTGGACCTCAAATCTTATGGTTTATGAGTAAAATTTATATATCACTAATTACAAATACAGCATGGAAATTACTCTCATATGGAGTTTCTGTATCGCTTTGATCAAAACTGAACAGAACAGCACAGGAATATAACGACCAATATGGAAAAATAAACTTTTAAATTTCTTTTACATTTTGGCTCACAAGAAAAACAGAGTTTGGGGAGATAACTCTTACAATAAAAAGTGTTCAGTTAAACAGAGAAAGTTTCAAAAGCGCAATAACTGTTCAACAACATTTATCAAATATTTTATCAACCTATGTGAAACAAAATTCTACGCATGAAAAAAGGGTGGATGAAAAGAAATTAATTGAAATCAGAACAAAATCAAAAGGAAGGTGGAAAGATCTAATAAATAAAAAATAAAATGGCATTAATATTTTTCCTTTAAATAGTGTATTATTATTGTTATTAGTGGATCTTTAATGATGCTACTGTTTACAATTATATCATATATTTGTTGTGTTTACAATTAGTTTTTCATATAACTTTTCTATTTGTACATCATCCAATGATATATATGTTATCTAAAAAATGCCTAATAAATCATATTTAATAACTTTTGCTTTTTTGATTTTAAAAAACCAACAGACAACAGATGTTCAAAATGTAGGGTACTATTCAGTAAAAGAAGACAATAGTTATGATCAGTTATGCCTTCCTTTTTTTACCACCCACAAAGTTAAAAGTTTCACTCATCATATTATCATATCCAAACAGGCTTCTATATTAATCAAACTTTGTATGGAGGACATAAGTGTTGAGAAATCAGCTATTAATTGTCAACTGACATATTCCTGATTTTCTGTCATCATTAGTTGCATGGATCCAGTTTTTTTTTTAATTATTTAATTATCCTGAGTAGCAGTAATTTATTTCAACACTATTAGGTTTGTTGATCAAACAAGTTGCATGTGTTGTTGTGATTAGCATACCCCCACTAGTAATTGGAAAACAGGAAGAAGATGTCTGACAGATCCAAAAAACACAAACCCATACAACTCCACTGCCAAGCTGCTGACTAAATATGAAGTAATTTTCTGTTTAGTAGTAATTTAGAAAACTGACAAAAATTTGAAGTTCATTGACAAACTGAAATGACCTCTTCGGTGGTCTCGTGGTAGCGTATTTGCCTCGAGTGTGGGAGGTCGTGGGTTTTGAACCCGGTTGGGTCAAATCAAAAAGACTTTAAAATTGGAATTTGCTGCTTCTTCTCTAAGCAGTAAGAGCAAAGACTAGTCGGCTCAGAGTCAGAATAATGTGTCCGTGGAAGGTGACATGTCTTCCTGTGGACTGTTACCTTGTGAACTAGCACGTTAAAAATCTGGCTCAGTGTGTCTGTCTAGTACAAAGCAGGGTAAATATTTATACTGCATTAACATGTTCTCGTCCTGAATATGCATATTAATTTGCCACTGGACGTTAAGCAGCCATCCATTATCATCATCATACTGAAAAATTCATAGTACAATGTATCAGTAAACAGAAAGTAGGTGTCTGACAGATTGGAAAAATACTTGCATGTTACATCTCATCACAGTTCAGCTTCTAACCAAATATGCAGTACTTCTGAGAAATGTGTTGGAAATATTTGTTGATAAAAAGATTGGATCGCCCAAATGACAGAATGCAGTAAAGCCCCACTCTTAAAGTGGGGTTAAACAAAATATAGTTGTAAGAAGTTTTTGTTTGACATAAATCATATAGCCTTGAACTATTTGCAAGCTTCAATGGTCAAGTTAAGTTTCAGGAATAGGGTTTAATATTACGTATTTGTATATACTTAATATTTGGTATGTTGTTTCATTGTTACAGGTCAATGTTCATTTGTCTTATGGTTTTTGTCTTTTTTTCACACACCAGTGATCAGGTTATGTTTTCATTAGTGGTTCCCCTTACAGTGACCTAATCACACACTTTAAAATGCAAAAGTTTCATAGTCAGTGACTTGATAGGGGTGTGACTTAATAATCTCCATGGAAAATAGATGTACAAATTCTATAATAAGTGAATTACCAAATATAATTGACTTGCCATTTGTGGTTCCCCTTAACATGTGAAAGTCTCTCAGCTACTTCTTCAGAGCAAAAGGGAAAGGATCAGGTCTGCTTCATATCTGTTTATATGAACCAGATGACAGTTGAACCTGAATATACTGGTATAAATGCAAATGGTGTTTGTATATTACACTTCATTCATTTCATAAGAGCATTATGTCTATTACAGGGATTTACTTAAAAGTGAAGATTCAGTATCACATAAACTGCTCATCATAATCAATCTAAACTGATGTCTTCAATGCAAAGAGTTATAGTAACAGCTTCATAAGTGATCCTGTAACTGGGTTTGCAAACCTAATTGTAGTCTGTTTCAGCATTACACAAGCAGGTCACTCAATGAATTTTGGAAAATATGACTGTTATAGAAGCCATGCCATGGGCCTTATGGCTGGTGTTACATGCAATGCAGAATGGTACCTTTCCAGAGTACCAAATAATATTCCAGTTTGTGTTAGAAATTTATTTTGCCAAAGCTTAGGTGTTCTCTGTTATGAACATCCTTCCATATTTGTATATACACCTATCTAGTTAATATTAATCTGCCTTGTTCATGCATGCCCTAAATTTGTTATCTAAAATATATGTTAAAACCATAACACAAATTGTATAAATTTAAATTTATTGAAACCTAACAATTTCAAAACATTTGGCACAATGGAGATAAAACTAACTGAAAAGAATAGCTGTATGCTTTGCTCTGCTTAAAAATTAATATGAGGACACTAAGATAAATAATTACATAGCTGTTCAAAAATATCATATAACAATAAGTATCTTCTTCTTGTCTTCAGAAATATTTTTTTTACCAAGGGGACAAATGAATTCCTACAAATTATAAGAACCTACCCCAAATAAGTAAACGATAAAATCTGATAATGTGTACTGTATCTATAATAGTAGGGACACCATAATTTATCTACAGTCATACCTGTATGTGTTACGACACCCTTAAGTATCCGAGTTCATCCTGAAGCATTAATGGTTACCGGACTGACTAAAAATTCTTTTGAACAGAATATCATAAAACTTTTATCTTCCTACCTCATACAAGTATTGTTGTACCCTTAGCTTTTTCCAAAACTTCATTTATCTAGCTATTACTTCCCACTTTAACTATAGTTTCCCCAACATCCCCTGACCCTCCTCCCTAAGAAAGGAATGATTACACTAAACAAAATGCTAAACAAATATTCAGTCAATGCATCAAATCTTTTCAAGAAACGCTTTAACATTATCCATAATATCAGGATGGGTAACACTTTCAGATTTTTCCATTAGTTCATTTAAAATATCCTTATACTGTCTCTTTTTATATATTGTCCACTTCATGTAATCAATGAAAAGTTGATCATGTGATTCTACCAAACATGTCAGGTGATCATTTACACTGTCACTACATGTTATCTGAAAAATGAAATAATTCTGTATAGTAATTCATAAATAAGGTGTGTGGTGCTGTTTGGTTATTGACAAATTAATTATGATTAAGAAAATATACAGTACTTCAATGTGCATAAAACAAGTTATCCTGTACTCTCTTCTCTGTTTTTATACTACATTTCTAATATGTATGGGTTGCAATTCACACTTTATATAAGAAAGTTTGGATATGTGGGTATTGTGTGTAGGTCTTCAGACCAATCATAGCTTTAAAAGTTTCTTCCTCACCATCTGTTGATGTAGTTTAAGTCTGTTAAGACATATTTAGCATACAGCATTGTGATATATACAATCCTCTTCGACTTTAGTTTTGCTTCTTTTTATATAATCATCTATTGATGTTCAATTAGGTTGTACATAATTTAGTGGAAAAGAAAGGATATGATGTATTCAAAATGAACATCTTTTATTGCTGTTCTTCATCTTAAAGTCACAAGGAAACCTCTAACAGAGATCATAGTCTAACACCTAACTGAGACATCTTGACATCTCTAGGACTGGTTTTGGAAATTTTTTCGTACATGTTGATCATGCATCTGTTAACTGACCAACACATATTTGGGTAATATCAAAAGCAAAAAAGTAAAAATATGAACCTGAAAAATATTTATATTTATTAAATGATATGAGCAAATCAGTCCTAATACGGATAAATCAGCATATGTAATACTGTTGACGTTGCCCTGTTGACATAAATCATGAGTAAATATTGCTTTTCGGCCCAGTCTGAGACAGGAAAAAGGCTGAAAAGCAATACAGGATTTTCACTTCCGGTGGCAAATTTTCGCTTCCAAATTTAATTATGATCCATTTTTGTTACGATTTGCGGAAACATTCCACAAAATTTCCGAGAAGAATTTTCAATTAATTTTCATTCCGTCGACAAAAAAACATAATGTCTGAATATTCTTCCCAAAGTACTTTGTTTGCTAGATAAATAGAATTGCATTAGCATAGACAAGTACCTGGACTGGAAATCAGAAATCTCAACAATATATAATTGACAAAACAATTCGTCGTGACTGGGAAGGGGAAAATTCAAATGACTGATGTACCTACAATGTATTTAACAGTAAGCATGTGTATCGTATAATTAAAGTCTTATGAACTGGCTGTTTCTGTATCAGCCCATTTAAAGATTCATGATCACATGTATTGGACCTCAATCCTTCGAGTCCCAGGGCCAATAAGCTAATAAAAGTATATAACCTTAAATTCATAACAGGGTCAATACAGAAACAGACAGTATTAAAGTATTGAGAAATTTGTAGATAGCCCGGAGTGGTGTTGAAATATTCATGGCTTTTGGAAGGGGTCTTGAATTTATTTTCCTTAAGGTGGGACTTGAAAAATTCAAATTTTTCCTTCCAGGTCCCCCCAACGAAATAAAATGATCGATCTCTTAGATCATAAGTTTATGAATCAATATTCATTAAACCTTGATCTTTTTGTCTCACATGTCAGCAGTCTTCACGCTGAACCACAGGCCCACCAGCCCAGGCTTGTAAAACTTCTGTCTGGCCTGTAAAAATCATCTCCACAGGCCAATATAATCTAACTAAAATTTTCTCAAAATTCAGTTTCGGGCCTTTAGATTCAAGTCTATTGTGAAGACTGCCGAACTTCGCAGAATGCAATAACATAGGGAATGCAAACCAGCGTCAGTGACAACATAAACTATTTGTTTATAAAGCTTTATATTTCAGAAGGTACATGTAGTAGACCTGGATGCGTCATACCTTGTATGCAAATGCCTTATATTCTTATATTACGAAGTTTCAATCTATTGCCATTTTCATGGTTAAGCAACTGCTTGAATATTTTTAGTCCCCTATCGACAAAGTTTAGGTTTGCACTTCATCCTTCTGTCTGTCCATCCTTCAGTCCGGCAAATCAGTTTAAATTTGTTTTAGTTGTTTTGTCATGAAATACTTCCTTATCATGAGTTATAGGGTAACTATATTTGGTATATTGGATGCTTGCAAGGTCTACATATATCCTTCAGACATGGTTCACCCGACCTCAACCTCATTTCGATCAGTGATCAATGTTAAGTTTTCGTGGTCAAGTCTGTATCTCAGATACTGTAAGCAATAGGTCAACTATATTTGGTGTGTGGAATGACTGAAAGGTGTACATTGTACATGTTTGACTGGCAGATTTCATCTGAACTTGACCTCATTTTCATGATTCATTTGTCAATTCTCAGATACTATAAGCAAAAGAGAAGCTGTATTTGGTGTATGGAATGAATGTAAGGTGTATACTGAATGTCTGTCTGCCTGGTTTCATCTGACCTTGACCTTTTTTTTGGATTCATTGGACAATGTTTTAAGTTTTTCCTTTTTGGGCTCTATCTATGATACTATAAGCTGAGTATATTCAATAGATCAACTTTATTGGGTGTATGGTATGAACATTAATTTAATCAAGTAAAGCAGGTGAGACATTTCAGCATGTGCACTTTTGTTGTCATTTCAGTTGCATTTTATTAAGTTAGTTATTTGTTAGTATAAACAAAGTTGCCTTCACAAAGACTTTTATTAATCTGACCTCTTCCACCATACTGAAATTCAAAATATTTCACAGTGGCTAGCTTAACTGTTCTTGCATTTTTCTCTCTCTAAATATTGTTACCCCCAAAAAATAGAAACAATGGGCGTCTTTTCCCTTAGAGCTCCCAAGTTCTTTGATTTATTTTAAAGTGACACTCAATTAAATAAAAATCATAAAAGACATGTATTTTCTACTTACCAGCTTTAGTATTTGAGTCAGTACATTTAGACCTCCAGAACCTTGGTACAGAAACATAAGTAGTATGTGATAAATAGTGTCCTTCATTTGACCTTGATTGCTAACCTGGTTCCCTGATAACACACACATTATATCAGTATAACACAATGTAGATTTTACTAACAGAGGTCTCAAGCATAGCACAATTCTTGTCAAAACATCCTATAAACAGATTAAATATAGAACTGATCAGAAGCATTCCAAAAAGAAAATATTTTAATAGGAAATCTGTGTCTAGTCTGCAATTGCTGCTGTCATAGAAGTGTCATGCTTATTGCTAAAAATTAAGTCATTTATCATTAATATATGTATATAGAAGACTGGATTATTTGACTCATTCAAGAATTTGATGAGTGGAAACCTTCACACAAATTTTAAAAAAGATCTGATAAACAAGAGGCTCTCAAGAGCCTGAATCGCTCACCTGTATTTCAGAGGAGAAGATTTTTAAATGTTAGCAAACTTGATGAACAAATTGTGTAAAATTGTCTTTAAAGGGCAATAACTCCTTAAGGGGTCAATTGACAATTATGGTCTTTTTTACTTTTTTGTAGATCTTACTTTGCTGAACATTATTGCTGCTTACAGTTTATATATATCTATAATAATATTCAAAATAATAACAAAAAACTGCAAAATTTTGTTAAAACTACCAATTCGGTGGCAGTAACCCAACAATGGGTTGTTCAATTCGTCTGAAAATTTCAGGGCCGATAGATCTTGACCAATTAAACAATTTTACCCCTGTCACATTTGCTCTAAAAGATTTAGTTTTTGAGATATAAGCCAAAAACTGCATTTGACCCTTATGTTCTATTTTTAGCCATGGCGGCCATGTTTGTCGATGGATACAAACTTCGGATACAATTTATAAACAAGATACCCTATGGAACATTTATTTACAGTTTGAAGGTAATTGGCCCAGTAGTTTCAGAGATTTTTAAATGTTAGCAAACTTGATGAACAAATTGTGTAAAATTGTCTTTAAAGGGCAATAACTCCTTAAGGGGTCAATTGACAATTATGGTCATATTAACTGTTTTGTAGATCTTACTTTGCTGAACATTATTGCTGCTTACAGTTTATATATATCTATAATAATATTCAAAATAATAACAAAAAACTGCAAAATTTTGTTAAAACTACCAATTCGGTGGCAGCAACCCAACAATGGGTTGTTCGATTCATCTGAAAATTTCATAACTGATAGATCTTGACCAATTGAACAATTTGACCCTATGTCAGATTTGCTCTAAAAGCTTTAGTTTTTGAGATATAAGCCAAAAACTGCATTTGACCCCTATGTTCTATTTTTAGCCATGGCGGCCATGTTCGTCGATGGATCAAAACTTCGGATACATCTTATAAACTAGATACCCTAAAGAACATTTAGTTAAAGTTTGAAGGTATTTGGCCCAGTAGTTTCAGAGGAGAAGATTTTTGAAATAGTTTATGCCGACAGATGACGGACACCAAGTGATGGCATAAGCTCACATGGGGCCCTTCTGGCCCCGGTGAGCTAAAAATGAAGGCCTTATCTAGGCAACAATAATTTAAATGGAAATTTTTTACAAGTCTTCCTTCCACAGAAATGGTCCCCATTTCAAAAGTTTCTGATAATCTTACTCATCTGTGGTTTTGATGAGTGGAAATATTCATCCAAATTTGAAAAGATCCAAAACAAATGGAGGCCCTAGCATGGTGACTATAAAGAGATCAGTTGGACAGATGGGTTAAAACATTTATACCCTCTGTAACTTTGTTCTAACAATTATGCCCTTTTAGTTAGTTTTGTGTGATGCACATAAACACAAGAAAATGATCTTAATTTTATGTTTGGGAACGCACTTGAAAGTGGTAGAACAACCACTGATGTTACTATACACTAATGTTGATTCTAGAGTATCTTACTTACTTTTATTGACTGACGTTGTAATTTATACCACAGACTGCTATAACAGGCCACTAGATCTAAACAAGATGTCTGAAACTAAAAGATAGAAAAACTAGAAATATGAGTCAACTCTCAACAGGATATCCCCACCCTGCAATATTATTAGTCTTTTTAAAATATTGAATAAGTCTATAAAAATATATAAAAAAGGAAAAAAAGAAAAACAATGTTACAGTCTTCTAGGAGACAGACTCCCCTTTAACATGTAGAACACACTGTTTAGGAGGAGTTGCACTAACAAGAGACTATTACCACATGTTTCAAAGAAATCTCCTTATTCTTATATTGGTCCTAGAAATGGTGGAAATTAACCACACTACAGTACAAATGTATTTCATTCTATATTACCTGTCTGTCACATATAAAACACAACTGCAATGCTTTCTGGTACCATTGTTTGAACTGTAGTGATAGTACCAGTAACTCAGTTGTCTCCCCATTGTTTTCAAGGTCATCTTTAAATATATCACACAGAGTCTTCACATGTGGACCTAGATTTTCTGGTTTAACATCTTAAAAAAAAACATTTACCATATTTACCCATGTCTAGAAATTTTAGAATTCAGCATTTTAAAAACAAGATGTTTATTAAGTTCACAATCTTGTGACAATGATGAAATTATGATCATTTTCAGATATTTTTGGATGTAAATACAAATTTTACCCTGACTTAATTCAAATTCAGATTTCTTTGACAAACTTGGGAAATACCATGTTGTTAGTCTATAAAAATAGAATTAATACTGGTAAAAAAAACCAATTTGATTCTTTGTAATCGTATTACATCGGAAATGGCTGAATTTTTTTATATCTTAAAATCATCAGACCCTTTCATAGTTTGGAAATTTCAATATTCTTTTTTCCGCCATGTTCCACTTATTTCACATTTAATAGGTTGGTGTGTTATCCAGTACAGATTGAAGCTAAAAATCTATAATATGCAAGTAACAAGTCATGTGATTTATTTACATGTCCAATTACGTGATGGTTTTGTTTTCAAAGTACCAATATTTAATTAAGAAGGTTCAGACTTCAGCAAAAAAGGTGTTCAGTCAATAAAACAGCAGGTAAATGGTCTACAATTGTTTTGTTATAAATTAGGCCGTTTGTTTTCTCAAATGAATTGTTTCATATTTTTCATGTTGGGGCTTTTTATAGCCAATAATAAGGTATTGGTTTTTCTCATTGTTGAAGGCTGTACCGTTGCCTATAAATGCTTACATCCACTTCATTTCAACTTTGGTAATCATACCACATCTCCTTATTTTTAAACAGGACTTAAATTGTGATTTTCAATTATTCTGCACAACACAAACAGGGATATAGAGTCTTAAACTTTTATTTATATTTAAGCAAACAATATGGAAAATGTATGTCATCATGAGATAACTAATACAGTGCAAGAGTCCCTGGAAAAGAGGAAGGAGGTTATGCATGTATTCTTTTTTTTTATGAGATAAAATTGAGAATGAAAATGGGGAATGTGTCAAAGAGACAACAACCCGACCATAGAGCAGACAACAGCCGAAGGCCACCAATGGGTCTTCAATGCAGCGAGAAACTCCCGCATGCATCTACCTCTAGTCCTATTCAATGAAATATGAATAGTTTATTAACATTAAAAATAAAAAGAACATGTATTAAAAGTGAATTGAAAGTGTGAATACAATACCTTCAGGATGTACAGACAATGAGTTCACAAGGATTCTGAAATGAGCTGGATAAATCATACTGAGGAATAAGCTGTCCTGAAAATAATAACAATAAAAATGAGTACAGGAATACCAAGTAATAATGGTAAAATAGATAACAACTAGAATATGTATTTATAGGACACCATGCCCTGCTTACACAATTTACTTTGTTTCATGTTGATGTGACCACAACTTCAGGGTCAACATGAACTGAATTCCAACCATCACATTTCCTTGTTTAGTGAACCATGAAATTTTGGTCAAACTGCAAATTGTGATATAATTTAAAAAGTTCACACCAATGAACAAAGTTTTATTTTCATGAGACTCAACTTCTTGTTAAACCACCTTCACGACAAACCATAACCTTATACAGAAATTCAGATGGAGGAACGGAGGCATAGACCAGAAAACATAAAGCCCCAGTACTATTGCGAGCAGGGCATAAATAGACAGTATAAACAAACCAATAATAAACTATACATTACAAAATTATCATAGTTACTGAAAGCAAGGTCAAAGAACTTAACCTGCTGTAAATAATTGAAGTTAGAATTGAGAATGGAAACCGGGAATGTGTCAAAGAGGCAACATCCTGTTCAAAGAGCAGAAAACAGCCATTTATCATCTTTACAAGTATAAGATAATAAAGGGTATAACTCTTAACTTAAATGCCAAAAGCTAACTTGACTTGTATTTTACAGTTTATAATTTTGATAACATCTAAGAAAAACTATTTCCATGAACCTAAAATATTTCAATATTTTCAGATACCAATCAAGAGTAATGACCCTTATATACATTACAAGAGTGCACACGCTGAAATGTCTCGCCTTCTTTACTAACCATTGATATTATGTTGATAGTCCTAAATATAAAGCTTTACTACAACTATCCACTGATATTTCTTTGGTTTCATAATGAGAATAAAGTGCCACTTGACCAATCTTTTTCACCAAAAGTTGACATGCACCATACAATAAAGGTCAAGTATATTTTTGATTGTTCAACATTTTTTGTTCAAGTTCAGTGAAACCAAAGAAATATCAATTTTTAATGTATATAAGGGTCATAATTCTTGATTGGTAAATGCCAATACCATAAAGATGGAACTTGGACTATATTACTTGACCTATATATTATTGTCTATTACCATGAGATCAAATTCTAATAGGTTAGGTCAAGCAGCACTGTCATCTAGAAACCAAAAATTTGACAGACAGGTGAACTGACAGAGATACAGATGGAAATGTGCATCATTATTTACCCCTCTATTTGATGCTGGGGTTAAAAATAAATACAATGCTTACAATCACAAATATTTATCTTTATATTTGTTTTTCCTTGAAATATATGTATGATTCATGTGCCTTCAAAAAGTTGTAATTTGGAATGATTATACCATGGAAAGTTTATATATGAAGTTGTTAAATGAGACAATGTAGTACAATGTACCTAGACCATTCTGCAACCAGGATTAATTTATGGAATGAAAGATCGGTTGGAATGTGTAAAATAAAACATCACATGAAATCTAAGACCAAAATTACTTTGGAGAGGTCATATGAAGAAAAATAATCCTGAAAGTTATGCTTATTAATAATATATTGCTATCATATTTTCTAAATTTGAAGTGTTATCAGGGTTTTTAACTGTTTTCCAATTTTCAAGATTTGCCAGTTAATTGAACAAACCTGCGAATTACATTTTCTTTTCTCCATCCAAATACATCTAAGAAATGATTCAAGGATTCTAATTATGGTATTACCAGTCAGTGTGATCACCATCTTATATATAACTTCATACATCTGACCATCTAACATACATACTTTTATCTGTAAAAAAATTCTCATATCAGTTCTGCGTATTGATATACTTAAAATAATAGAATAGTTTAATCACTTGTTTCCCAATACTACGGATGCACTCTATAGTTTTACTTGTGTTAGCATTATTAATATAACAAGAGTGAACATGCTGAAATGTCTCGCCTACTTTACTATTCATGAAATAATTTATGTTGATAGTCCTAAAGATAAAGTTATACTACAAGCATCACATAAACTTAACATTATCAAAGATCCATGAAAATGAGGTCAAGGTCAGATAAACCAAGCCAGACAGACATGTACACCTCACAATCATTTCATACATTAAATATAGTTAATCTTATTGCTTATAGTATCTGACAAACAGACTTAACCATTGACCAAAGAACCATAAAAAAGAGGTCAAGGTCAGAAGAACCCTATCTGACAGACATGTAGACGTTGCAAGGAACCCATATACCAAATATGCCTTGTAACAAAAGCCATCTACATACAAGGTATGAAACCTCCAGGTCTACTACCCTCTGAAATATAAAGCTTTATACAAATAGATGTCGTCACTGCCGTTTTGTTGTAATCCCTATGTCTTGCATTCTGCAACTTTTGTTGCAGGCTTGACAATACATGTAACCTTACACTTAATACATGTATATATATCTCACTTCTGAAAAATATACTTACAAAATGTGAATGATCCTATAATACTTGACAAGGCATGATCTTTGATGACATGAATGGGTATGATTTATAATCATCACACATGTCCTTCTCTATCCTTACAAATAACTAAGTAAAGCCAGATATTGTTTCAATGTACATTTAACCCACATTTTGTTTTAAGTTTTATAAAAAGTGTGCTGTTATGAAATTGATATTAATACTCAAGGAATAAGCCATATCATTTTTGTATTGTATTTTCTCTTGTGATCATACACTATTCTTTATTTGAGCATCATACATGTTATATGTAAGTGTTATGTTATGTTTCATTGATTGGAGTTGGCCAATACTGTAATCATTATAACAAATGAAACAATTTATAGTATAAAACTTTTTAATAGTGGACAATAAAAAGCTTGACATTTTGTATATATAGTCCTGTCTATTGTTGACTCTCTATATATCTTTTGTAAGTCACTGAGTTGTTGTCTCACTGAATTATACCCAACATCTCATTCATACTAACTATCCTTCATTTCCAAAATTCTAAATTCTGAAATTCTATCAAATTAATCTACAATTGTTAATCATCATTTAATCATTGTTAATAACTACCATCAAGTACTAGTAGAGGCTATTTGGGTTTGACCCCATCTGTGCACTAATAGGCTACCAGGTATATCATGCCTACTTACTAGAGAACTGTCATTCCAAACATTGTCCATCTCAGAAGTTAACACATGGTCTTTACATAATTCAATTCGGAACAAAACCTCTTGTTCCAGTGAAGACCTACTGTATGTCCACAATTTATAACAAGTTGCTGCAGAAATGTTCTGTCTGTAACCTTAAAAAGTCAGATTTCATGATATTTTGTTGATGACAAGTTTAATTTTAATCCCTAAATGTAACCTTGTGTACCCTGTCATCAGTTTATTGTAGTAAAGATATACATTCACTTCACTTATTACCACATGGTAAATGTATATATCTATGATGATTTTAAATTGTCTAAACAACAATGTTGCAAATATTTTTAAGCCTGAGCATTATGAGTGTTAAGATAATTTTTAGATACATGTCTTGACAAAAGGGAGTTTAATGTCGTTTGAGGGTCTAATTTTCTATGACAATTTAATCTTTGAAAAATATTTGTAAAGGGTTCCGCGTAACCCTGTGTCTCACCTCAATTACTGCTGTCAGTCTAAAAGTGTTATGTTGACTTAAAAAGTAAGTCCATCTATAAGCAAAGAAACATTTTTTTAAAGAATTCAAACTTATTCTTTAGATGCTAATTTCTTTGTCTTGAAGATTTAGCTTCTGTCTAAATTTCATTTAAATCCAAGACGGTTTACAAATTTATCATGTCAAAAAAATTTAATCCCAGACTGTCTGTAAATGTTTACTGTAAAAAAACTAAGTCCATCTATCAGACAAATACTGAAAATGAAGAAAAATGTATTTTCAAAAGTTTGCTTCAGATATTATCTTTAAATCATAAAAAACTTCTGCCAAAGTTTCAGAAGAATGAAGGTTTGAAGTAATTGATGTGTAACAAACTTTAACCCCAGACTGTATCTACTTGTTAACTGTAATAAAAACTAAGTCCATTTATTAGTAAAATACGGAAAAATGAAATAAAATATTTTCAAAATTTTGCTCTGGATGCTATATTTTGGTCATAAACAAGCTTCTATCCAAATTTCATATTCCATTAAGGTATTACAAAGTTATTGATGATTTCCAAAAAAAATTTAACCACAGACTGAACCTAAATGTTGACGACGCCAACGACCAAATCTAGGATCGCTATGTCTCAGGCTCTACAAAAAGAATTACCTTTAAAGTGTCACCATACAGCATATCACAAATAAACATGATTGCAGGTATGACATGAACACAAATGTGGATGTTAAGAGTATTCAAATTGTCTCTCTCAACAAATTAGAGGCTCTCAAGAGCCTGTGTCGCTCACCTGATTCTACTTTGGTTTTGGAAATCATGTAAAAATAGATTAAAATCATAACAGATACCCTCATAATGAGTGAGGCCAAATTTGGTTTAATATTGGCCCTGTAATTTAATAAAAAAATCCTGGTGGCCATCTTGAACAGTAAATTGGCAACAAATTAGCAACACTTCATCAGCACCTCATAAGAAACATTTATGCCATGTTTGGTTTCATTCCATTCAGTGCACCTCTAGAAGAAGCATTTGTATGAATTTCCCATAGGGTCTTATGTTAAAGGAAGTCCCCCAGCTGGACGCCATCGTGGATGAAGGATCGGCTTCAAAGTAACAACATTTAGTCAGCACCTTATAAGGAACATTCAGTCCATGTTTGGTTTCAATCCATTCAGTGGTTCTCTAAAAGAAGACATTTGTATGTATTGTTCATAGGGTCCTTTGATAATCATTGTCCCCAGCTGGCGGCCATCTTGGATGATGGATCAGCTTCAAAGTAACAACACTAGGTCAGCACTTCATAAGGAACATTCATGCCATGTTTGGTTTCATTCCATTAAGTGGTTCTCTAAAAGAAGACATTTGTATGTATTTCCCATAGGGTCCTATGTTAAACTAAGTCCCCTGCTGGCAGCCATCTTGGATTATAGATCTGCTTCAAAGTAACAACACTTGGTCAGCACCTCAAAAGGAACAATCATGCCATATCTGGTTTCATTCCTTTCAGTAATTCTCTAAACTAGAGGCTCTCAAGAGCCTGTGTCGCTCACCTGATTCTACTTTGGTTTTGGAAATCATGTTAAAATAGATTAAAATCATAACAGATACCCTAATAATGAGTGAGGCCAAATTTGGTTTAATATTGGCCCTGTAATTTAATAAAAAATCCTGGTGGCCATCTTGAACAGTAAATCAGCAACAAAGTAGCAACACTTCATCAGCACCTCATAAGAAACATTTATTCCATGTTTGGTTTCATTCCATTCAGTGCACTTCTAGAAGAAGCATTTGTATGTATTTCCAATAGGGTCTTATGTTAAAGGAAGTCCCCCCGCTGGCGGCCATCATGGATGAAGGATCAGCTTCAAAGTAACAACACTTAGTCAGCACCTCATAAGGAACATTCATGCCATGTTTGGTTTCAATCCATTCAGTGGTTCTCTAAAAGAAGACACTTGTATGTATTGTCCATAGGGTCCTTTGTTAAACAATTTCCCCAACTGGTGGCCATCTTGGATGATGGATCGGCTTCAAAGTAACAACACTTGGTCAGCACTTCATAAGGAACATTCATGCCATGTTTGGTTTCATTCCATTCAGTGGTTCTTTAATAGAAGACATTTGTATGTATTTCCCGTAGGGTCCTATGTTAAACTAAGTCCCCCGCTGGCGGCCATCTTGGATGATGGATCGGCTTCAAAGTAACAACACTTGGTCAGCACCTCATAAGGAACATTCATGCCATGTTTGGTTTCACTCCATTCAGTGGTTCTCTAAAAGAAGACATTTGTAAGTATTTCCCATAGGGTCCTATGTTAAACTAAGTCCCCCGCTGGCAGCCATCTTGGATTATGGATCAGCTTCAAAGTAACAACACTTGGTCAGCACCTCAAAAGGAACATTCATGCCATGTCTGGTTTCATTCCATTCAGTGGTTCTCTAAAAGAAGACATTTGTAAGTATTTCCCATAGGGTCCTATGTTAAACTAAGTCCCCCGCTGGCAGCCATCTTGGATTATGGATCAGCTTCAAAGTAACAACACTTGGTCAGCACCTCATAAGGAACATTCATGCCATGTTTGGTTTCATTCCATTCAGTGGTTCTCTAAAAGAAGACATTTGTATGTATTTCCCATAGGGTCCTATGTTAAACTAAGTCCCCCGCTGGTGGCCATCTTGGATGATGGATCGGCTTCAAAGTAACTACACTTTGTCAGCACCTCATAAGGAACATTCATGCTATGTTTGGTTTCATTCCATTCAGTGGTTCTCTAGGAGATGTTCAAAATGTAAAAAGTTAACGAAGACGACGGTAGCCAAATGATGAGAAAAGCTCACTTGGCCTTCGGGCCAGGTGAGCTAAAAATAGGGCAATCCTTAACTAACATTATTCCATGTCAAATCACCAAAAACAATTTAACACTTTGAACTAAATATATTATTTTATATAAATCATTGCAACATTTGTTTCTTGTAAAGGAATTATTAAGAATTACCTTTCTTGTGTTGTAAAGACTTGGATAAATCTTCACAAATCTTTTTAGCAACTGGATCTTCCAATGGGTATAAAGTGAGCACCTCCAAAATATAATCCCATAATGACAACAAATGAGAGTTAACTGGAACAGTAAATAGTTGTTTGTACACCATTATAAACCATAAATCTGATTCTAAAGTATCTCCAATATCCACTTTAGATTTCAACATTTGATCCTTCTTCTCTTGTAATTTTTTCCTCAATTTCCCTTTAATTTGTATAATTATCTGAAAAAAAATAGAATACTCATTATTACTGATAACAAGCATAATATTATGTCAATTCAGTTTACAATGAAGAAAGAGCTATCCACCATATCTAACCAGAAAACCATCAGTTACTATCATAGATATATATATATATATCCTAAGCAAGAGGCTCTGAAAATTGAGGTTTTTTCCATAGGGTTTAATTGCACTATACCGAGTACCATTGATACCATGAATGTAAACCCAATTAGAAGAAATCCTCATTAATTCAAAACATTTTGAAAATGTATTTTGAAATTTTACCAATTAAAATCAATCATTTCTATTGGTGGCCATTTTTCTTAAAACTGTTTCCAAAAATACATATAAAATTGCTGCCAAAGGAGAAGGGGCAATAAGGCACTTAATGAGTGAATAAAATGCTTCGCTGAGCGCAACCTGATACTACCGCAGAGGTAGAACCCTGAACAGTTGGGGCAAATTTGGACACAATATTCAAGCTTGATACTATCTGAATTTGGATTGTGATCAAATTTTTGACATAATATAGGTTTCTGACACAAAATAAATGTGGTCAAAGATCTTACAAATCTAATGCACAATACTGTGCAATTGAAGATTTCTTCTTGAAACTTTTCAAACATTTTAAATTTTGAAAATTTTGAAAAAAAGTATGAACCCTTTTAAAAAAAAATTGGAAACTCCCCCTTCCCCCCAAACTTTTTGAATCCCCCTTTTAGCATTAACCATCAAACTCAATTGCAGTCTTTCCTTTGTAGTATGGAACCTTGTAGTACAATTTTAGAGAGATCCATACACTTAATCACAAGTTTCTGTCTGGAAACTAGAAAAATGCTTTTTTCTAACAACAAAAGCCCATTTAAATACATCATAAAAGTATTAAAATAGAAAATGACATCATAGTCATGGCTTAAATTAAAAAATCTTCATCAGCAACTCTTAATAGTAATATCTAAAAATAAAATTCCTTCATCAGCATATAAAAGTAACTTCTAAAAATAAATTGACAGCTAGGACTTTGCAACCATAAAAAAAACATTTAAATACATCATAAAAGTATTAAAATAGAAAATGACATAATAATCATGCCTAAAATTAAAACACTTTCATCAGCAACATTAAATAGTAATATCTAAAAATAAAATTCCTTCACATACATAATCATGGCTAAAATTAAATAATTTTTAAAATAGAAAATGACATCATAATCATGCCTAAAATTAAAAAGCCTCTATCAGCAACATTAAATAGTAATATCTAAAAATAAAATTCCTTCACAAACATAATCATGGCTATAATTAAATTACCTTTATTAAACATTTTTAAAATAGTAACTTCTAAAAATAAATTGACAGCTAATCACCTAAAGACAAAACATTTCTTTATAAATAATTTACAAGCAGTGTGAGGGAGGTAATTTGACAATATGTGTTTGAATTACCTCCCTTACACTGCTTTAAAATTATGTTTTGTACTTAAGTAATTGTCCATTAACCTGGAAACCCTTGTTTTTCCCCCTTTTTTGCCCCTAATTCCTAAACAGTTTGAGCCATAACCCCCCAAAGCAAATTCTTACCATCCCTTTGTGATATGGTAACTTGTGGTATAATTTCAGAGAGATCCATACACCATTTCACAAGTTATTGTCTGGAAATGCTTATTTGGGCCCCATTTTGGCCCCTAATTCCTGAACTGTTAGAACCATAACCACCAAAATCAATCCCAACCTTCCTTTTGTGGTCATAAACCTTATGGTAAAATTTCATAGAAATCCATACACTTAAACAAAAGTTATTGTCCGGAAACCAATGTGTCTTTGGATGACGTGATACCAATATATGACAGCAAAATGTTTGCTGTCGTATAAAAATAAGCGCAAATTTAAAAGCTACCATGAGTGATAATCTTAAATTTGCCCATACATAACTAAGGTTATCAGTGCACTATATAACCATGTAACCATCACAAAATTTAATATTTTGTTAAATATCTTGATGGTCTTTATTTGCGTCTACTATCGAGTTTTTGGATTGTTTGATAAGAATGTACAAATTTTGTTGAAAGATACAATGATACCTGAAATTCTAAAAATTAAAAATTACCTGTTTTGAATTTTCTTTGACAACATTATTTGGTTGTATACCTAGCTGACAGACTGTGAAGTAAGAGTTCATTGGAATACATACAGTACTTTTTACTTGTGCCTGAAAATTGTCATTAAAAGTTCTATAATAATCTTATAACATGAAACTTTGGATGGCATGTCCAAAACACTACAACTAACTCATTTTTTACTATAAGGAGACGTGAAAAATATTGGTTCAGTTCTCATTTAAAATCTGAGTGGAATAATAGTATGGACTTACTTTGATGCAACTGTTTGATTTTTGGCAGTGCAGTAAAGTCAAATAAAGGCATGTGTTGGATTAGCGAGGCCTTTTGGAAGCACAGGCCACCTTGCGGCTACTATTGCTGAGGTAAGTTTTGGCTCAATGGTTTGGATCAAAATTGTAAGCTTGTTATAAAGGTAATGTCTTGTTGTTTTATTTATGAAATACCAATCCATTTGGACATATACATAAAACCAGGTGAATTTTCTTAAGCCATTGACATATGGAAATTATAGAAGAAAGACATGTCAAACCATAAGTGATATGTGTATACAAGATTGTCCAGCTTTTATATATTATGTTTGTGACTGATACTGAGTTTACAAATTAATAAATTCATGAAATTTATTTAAAAATAATTATTCAATACTTATAATCCAATAAAGCGCACTAAAAACTATGTCCCAAAATTTTTTTTTCATTTAACTCTTCCAGAAATATTTGCATGTGTACATGATGTAGGAATTCCTACTGATGACATGAAATGGGTTTATACATGTATATATATATATATATGCTATTTGATTGCTATGATACTCACATAAGACTAAACAAATAACAAATTATTGAATCTGAAGTATACATAACATGTGTAAAGTTTGATACAAATAATTTACAGGGTCACTGCCAGATTAGCATAGATGTTTTACATACATTTGAAATATTCTTGGGCCTTGCCATGAGATGGGCCAATGCTAATATAAATCCATTACAAGTATCATTGACCTTTTATTAGTGGCTCCCCTTAAAATGACCTTATCAAAAACTTTAACAAATTATGGACGCCATAGAAGCAGCATGCCTAAGTCGTGCTTCCTCATCTTTGTCAAGGTGAAACAATTATTATAATATGTTTAAGTATTTAGTACAAACCAAAGCCCACTCTGCAGCTTTTCTCTCTATATGGGTTTGTGGATTCTCTCTCCATAGTCCCATTATACATTGTGTAGTTTTATCATACAATGCTGAACACCCTCGTACAGTTTTTGATACATATAAACGTCCTAATATCTGACCTGTATCTGGTATTTCTTTGATTACTGCATCAACAGTCTGTAAAAAATATTCAATCTACCTATAAGCATGATAAGATCAGATTTTAGCTTAAAAATAATTGAAAAATATTATCTGAAATAATTTTTAATTTTCATGCAGATTTTAAAGGTGAAAGATAACACAATTTCCACTTTCTACAAAACAATTTTTTTTTTTAATTGCACACTATCACGCTTTAATGGTTATATCCTTGATAGCCTTTTAAAAATATCCTTTATGCAAATATATCCTTTAAGTGTTTTACTGTTTTGATCTCTTGAGAAAAAGATAATAGACAATATTTATTAGCACAAACACATTTACAATAAATGGTTAAGGCATGATTATTAAATATAGACACCCCATAAAACAGACAATTGTTTAGTAAAAAAAGAGTGTGACAGTGGCTTTCATATGAGAATTTAAAAAAAACATATATAATAAAAATGACTACAAATATTAAGAGTATTCTTAGGTATGGCAAACCAATGGGAGATAACTCCAAATTACCCTAAACAATTGTTCCCAGATGTGTGTAAAAATAAAATCTTTGGATGACCTCTGATTACGGCCTTCTATTAACTTGTTAAGTCTCAGAAGGTTCTGATTGCTTTTGATAGATATTATATGAATATTCATGATTTTGTATATTATAATTTTTGGGAATACGATGAAATATTTGAGGTACAAACAAGGGTTTAAAAGTTACATTTGTTTCAAAAAAATACAAGGGAACGTTATACAGCCATAACATTTACTTTTTTATTAAGTTTAATATATTAATCAAATAATTAGGTCCAATAAATAAATTTAGATAGCTGTGTTCATATCAAAATTAATTTTTATAAATAACCCTCCTTTTTGTGTATACATTATAGTTATTTCCCTTGCATGGACAACTTTTGGTTTAGTTTTGATTGGAAATCAGTGTGATTTTTTTTTGCATTATACAGCCAGTTTATTGCAATATAAAGATAGTTTAACCATTTGCCATTGCACACGAGATAGTAAGGATACTGAATATTGTGGTTTAACAACAATTAATATATGTATTTTCAACATGTTCAGCTAAAAACATACATAGGAATGCATGCAGTAGTGGCAGTTCACTTCGTCTGCTATTCACTGTTAAGGTTTTAGAAAAAAAAAACAACATGGCAATTGATTCCCTTGTCATCAATTCTCCCCTGTCTTCCATCCCATATTGATACAAGAAGATTCCACTACCCCCCTTTCCCTGACTACCACTTTCCAAGTTGAAAGTTATATTAATTATTATACAAATACTATTTGTCTTAGAATAATTAATATAACTTTCAAAATAATATTAATATGACCCTATTTTTCAGACTGTATTTAACAGTACACTCTAAAGATATTATTTTTTGTATACATATTTTTGTGTGTGTGTGTGTGTGATCACATTAACTGAGTTGTTGAAATTTTTCCCACATATATGTTCTAAATACAATGGTATATAATAATTAAATAAGGGAACGTAACGGACACTACATTATCTACACAAGCAGACTGCTAGAGGATTATAGAGCCAAAAAACTTGAGATAATACCGGAGATGGTAGGTCTCAAACCATGTTCGAAGTTCTGTTCAAGATTCGTTTTGCATGTAGTTGCACCGGAAGTGCAATTTTTTAATATAATTTCAGCATGATCATGTATAGGAATACATGAACTAATCAAGTTTTACCTTGGAGCTTACCACTTTCTGTATTGATCAGTATTAAAGTAATTTCATGTCGAGAGAAAAAAAACACTAGCTAACACCATGCAATTTAATATATATCCTGAAATAATAATTATATTATAATATCTGGGAAGCTAAAGTCATACTAACAACCAATGCTTGATACAGTGAAATTAGTCTAAACCAAACCCTGAATAAACCGGAAACCATGTTCTGAAGTCCTTTCATCTCAGATTCAACATGTTCAATGCATTTTGAACTTCAGTCGTGAATGAGATTGGTTTACAGATTTCACTGTATAAATATTGTAAAGTTCTAATATACAGATATGAATTTACTTTACTTTTGTACATACAAGTATTTACAGTGATCTGACATAATTATTTTGTTTGAAATTTCTCAAATAAAAATAATGTTATATTTATTTTCATTGTTTTTCAGTGCAACAGGTATTTTAGACCTGTAGTATAATTGTTGGAAGGTTGTTGTTTATTTTTATTTATTAGCATTCACTATACATGCTATATAAGAATAATAACCCGAATAATCCAGTCGTTATATTACGCTCCCTATCGATCACTACATTACCTCTGGAGGACAATGACCGTAAGGGGCGCTGTAATTATTCGAGTTATAAGAATAAGAGTATTTCATTAAATAGAATGTTAATGAAAAGGAACATTCTAAAACTATCATGACTTTACAAAGACAGATGACATACTTCAAAACTTTTCTCGTCTCTCATGGTACACACACACAAACATATACATTTGTATATAAAGAGTAATATTCATATCTATATTTTGTTTCTCTACATTCAAATGTTTATAAAGTTTTACTTTACATTTTCAATATACCAACTGATGTTCTGAAGAAAGGAATATATAAAGGTATCGTCATGTTGTGACGTTGACTTTTGCATGATAGAATTTCATGAGAGTGGTAGACATTTTCATGCTTTATGCTTCTATTTTGTCCAAAATATTTTACATGGGAGGATTGAAATTGACTAACAAGATGTAAAAGAAGCAATATAAACAAAAACTATAACCCAAATGATTAAAAAAATGTATTTTATGATTTTTTAAAGAGAGGAAACAGTTTTTCTAGAATAGTAAAAAATTACCATTTTGAAAATTTGCTATTTCTTCGTTGTTATTATGTGTATTGATAAAAGTGAAACTGTTTTGAAAATGTCTTCACAATGCCTTTAAAATGAGGTAAAGATCAGTTGATTTAAAAAAAAAACACTTTCCGTACCTAGTATTCTGAAATAATCATTAATTATCTTATACAAAAATATAAACATACTAAAATAAACCTTTAGAAATGAAAAAAAAGCTTTATTTTTACCTTAAATTTCATTAAGGACAGCAAACCATCAAGTATCAAATTGATAGTATCAATAGAATTTCGTAAAAATATTTCTTTCTCAATAGGACAAGTCTGTGACTGTTTTATATTCGATACAATGTAAGATACATTGTTTTTCACTTGCTCTAAGTTTGCCGCCATTTCTACTTTCACTTTCTCTTTCACCTTGTCGTCTTTCACTTCCGTCATAGATTTTGACACTGGCTACTTCTTTTTTGACCACGTAGTCTATCTATCCTGGTAACTGGTTTGTAGTAAATATACTAATCACTTTGTGGCTATTAACCTTTACAATTTTTATTTTAATGAGAAATAAATATACTTTTGATGAGTAAACTTTATAAAGCAAACAGAGAAAACTACACTAACTCTCCACTTCCTTATTGACTATTGTTGAACAATAATGGTTTGGTTACTGCAGGAACATATATATTGACATAGATATACTGTTCCCAGGTTACTGTATACAGATATATGTGTATTAAGTAATCATACTTGTATTTCATTGTCTGTATCTGCATCTTGATTGCTTTTAGATAGCCCTATGATTAGCAGAATAACATGTTTTAAAATATGTGTATACAAGATTGTCCAGCTTTTATATATTATGTTTGTGACTGAAACTGAGTTTACAAATTAATAAATTCATGAAATTTATTTAAAAATAATTATTCAATACTTATTATCCAATAATTAAAGCGCACTAAAAACTGTGTCCCGATAATTTTTTTTCATTTAACTCTTCCAGAAATATTTACATGTGTACATGATGTAGGAATTCCTACTGATGACATTATGAAATGGGTTTATACATGTATATATATATGCTATTTGCTTGCTATGATACTCACTGATAGCACTATTCCAGTAATGATATCTGGTCCTGTTGCCTTTTTTGGATTTATATTTTTAATTAATTTAAAGATGCCTTCTCTGTTGATGTCTATGTTGTCTATTATTGGATGTGTTGATGGACCTTTGTCAGGGATAACTGTATTATAGTCTCACATGTAAAAGCTGATTTAAATTGTTCGTTTAATATTATTAGCTTTTTTCAAGGGATCTGTATGTAGTAAACCTTCACTCCTAAGAGGTGCAATACCAGTGTTTTCATTGTTTTGGCCTTTTATGTATGAAAAAGAGTTTTTTAGATTGTTTGTTGAATCTCTGATTTTCAGGTTCTTGTATTGCAAAGTTGAATATCATGTTTTCAATATATTTCCAGTAGGCATTTCACATTTCATTCTGTAATTGTGTTTTAATTTGTTTGAATTTTTTAAGGTGTTTACTATCATGTGTTTTCTTTCTAAATAATTTGTTTTCTTGTTTATTAGTTGTTTCCAAGTTTGAATCTATCCATGGTAGGTGGGTTAATTACCTATTACCTTGGGTGCTATATGCTTTCGGATACTTTCTGTTGTTTTTGTTTCTGATATGAATGACACCTTAAATTGGCAAATACTCAAAGAAAGAAGGCTTAAAAGTAGACCAATAATGTGTCATAAAATATTAAATGACAAAAATTGCTATTCCATATAGTAAAACACACATCTCAAAAGTCAGTCGATCTTAAACAAGGTCTGCCCATAAAAATTCCTATAGAAAGCTACAATGCAACAAAGACAGATTTCTTTATTTTAATATTGCATACCATATTAAAAAACTATAAAAGGATCTCACATGATGTACAAATTTTACAAAATGTAAGACAATTCAATCAAGAAAACCTATGGCCTGATTTATGTAAAAAAACAATTGTGACAAACAGTAACTAATTACATCCAATGAATCACAGGCTTGGTTTTTTTTTGTAATTGTAGATGTTTTCATATTCAGTGTACATATTTATTTTTTATATGCTGAATCACATTAATGTTTTACTTACTTTCTTAGACAGTACAAGATGACATTAGAGGCAATACGTTACAACAACGGATCTTTGATGTTGCTGGACCAGTTATTATTGCCCAATAAGTCAGAATATATCCAGATAAAAAACACAGAAGATGGATGGAATGCAATAAAGAAGATGCAGGTATTACAATTGCTACTTATAGGGGGTAACAAGCAAGTACCATCCCTTCCTTTAATATTTTTTGCATGTGCCTCCATCATAACATTCAGAGATATTTTCAGACAAGATTAAAGGTGGGATTGTAGTTAGCCTTGGATATCATTTCTATCAAACAGTAAAAGGGTAGACTATATGATCAATAAGATTTTATGGTTTTTAGACCTGTCATATCCAGAAATCAACGCCACTTTGCTTATTTGAATATTATACTAAAGAAATTGGATACGGGTCACGGAAATTATATTGAAATGATAGGGAATTTTGAAAAAAAATGTCAGTTTTAACTTTAATTTAAGTGATAGCCAGGTTGCGGGGACAGAAAATAAATATACACAACAATATACACCATTTAAACGAAACATAATGACTGTCCTTGCAAAAATCAAGGTTCCTGAGCTATTTTAAAAATCGAAGCGAGAGGCTTTTAACATTGCAGTATAAAATACAGGCTAAAATGGCTGAAACGTCAAATTTGCAAACTTCGTGTTGAAAATTGGCTAACAAGGTCATTACAAAAACAGGTTGCGGGGATGAAACTTGAAACTTGAATGTCCAAAGAATAAGCAAGTCCAAACCTTGTATGTGTAGTCGTTGAACTCTAGGTTCCCATGTAAAGTTGAAATGCCCCTATTTCAAGAAGAATAAACTCCTGAAAACATGAAAAATTACTAAATTCGTGTTCATTGTTTTGATTTTGACCGCCTGACAACTTTACAGAAATATCAGAGTGATTATAAACAAGGACTCTATGACGGGCAACTTATAATATCCATGTTTTAAAGATTTTAATGATATCAAGCCAGTCCAGTTCAAACTATTATCACGTGGTGCAATTCTCATTAACATATTATGAATATTAATTAGCAAAAGTACTACTAATTTCTGGCTATGTATTTTTTGTAATCTATGATGAAATGAAATGCACCATTATCTGATTATGCATAATGATGATAACCAAATTTTATCCCAATCCATACTGAGTTTCTCTATTCATGGACCTCCTTGTTATTTCTGTTTTTATGGTTTTGTTTTAAATATTTGGTTGGTTCAAACTCTTATGAAATGAATATCTTCAAAGGACTTTACCATCAGTCATTCAACTCTTCATGATATAGGGGAGAGATGCAAAAGTAAGAAGTAGCAAAAACTCATCCTAAAGTAGAATTTATATATATTAATGTTTAAGCAGCAGTATTTTAGTATTTTTATAGACAAAATGACACCAGATTCATTTATTATATAGTACATGTATATGTATATAAAGCTTCAAGGAGCACCTGCTATTGCTGTTGCTACAGTATTATATCTATCTGTATATATCATGTTTGAGGAGCACCTTCCATTGCCATTGCAGGATGTTTAAGACTAGCTGTAGAACTGGTACCTAAACAATTCAGTAATTTTATGGTATTTATATATTTGTACTTAGGTTTCGATGAAAACCTGCCGATGCTGTAGCAGGATGTTTAAGCCTAGCTGTAGAACTGGTACCCAAACTATTCAGTAATTATATGGTATTATATTTGTACTTAGATTCGAGGAGCACCTGCCATTGCTGTTGCAGGATGTTTAAGCCTAGCTGTAGAACTGATACCAAAACAATTTGGTAATGTAAAAGAGTTAGTGGACTTTGTAGTGACAAAGTTAGAATACCTAGTAACCTCCAGACCAACAGCTGTCAATATGCAAGATGCTGCTAAACTATATACTGCTAGGATGACAGAGTATGCTAAACAACCAGATCTCACTGTAGATGTCATCAAAAATAAGTAAGTATAAAGGCATTTTAATTGCACTTATAATTATGATATCAAGGAATAATTACACGACTAGTTATACACTTATAGCTACCAGAGACCAGATAGTAAATGTATTCATTGTTGAAGGTGTGCATAACTATCATTATTCTTTTATTTTTGTGGTTACAATTTTCATAATTTGAGGAACATTTTATTTTGTCACAACTTTTTTCACTGAGAGTGATTTAAGACCAGAATCAAACATTTGACAGTTGTGGAACAAAAAATATACAAAATGCTTTTTAAGTCAGAAATCATTGAAAAGCAAACATCACATCTAAGATGTCAGGACACACTTCCATATGAAGTTCATAAAAGAAATTTTAGGTGTTCATTTCAAAGCAATTAATGCTGCTTGTAGAGCTGAACTTGGCAGGCTACCATTGTGATAAAAAATCTCTTTCTTGTATTAAACTTTTTATGCCCCCACCTTAGTGGAGGGGGCATTAAGTTTTACCCTTGTCCGTCTGTACGTACATCCATCTGTCCGTACGTCCCAAAATTGATTTCCGTTCTCTAACTTTAGTTTGCCTCAACCAAATGTTATGAAACTTATACACTATGCTTATTACCACAAAACACAGATCAAGTTTGAATTTTGGTGGCGTCACTTTTACCTTTCTAGAGTTATGCCCCTTTACAAATGGAAAAATTGCTGAATTTTTCGTTTCCGTTCTCTAACTTTAGTTTGCCACAACCAAATGTTATGAAACTTATACACAATGCTTAATACCACAGATCAAGTTCGAATTTTGGTGGTGTCACTTTTACTGTTCAAGTTGAACATATTTTAAGGTCTGAAAATACCTTTGTATCTAAAAAATTTCTGGCAACTGAAAAAAATAACCCTGAATAAAGAAACTTTATTCTATTTTAAACAATCTAGGATTTTCAAGCCTAGCTGGGAGAAAATGTTCTATTAAACAATATCTACCAAATATTAAACAACGAGTGATTGATCAGTGTACGCAGGATCAATTATCAAAAATTTACAATTCATCCAAACTCAAATTTTATCAAAAATTTTATAATTCAAATCATTGTAGTTCTTATGTTGATGTTCTAAGGAACAAATTAGAAAGGTCATCTCTGTGTAAAATAAGATTGAGTGCACACAATCTTGCCATGGAAAAAGGGCGCATTTAGGTTTACCCACCAATGAATGAGTTTGCAATGTATGTAAATCTGGTGAGGTAGAAGATGAAAATCACTTTTTACTGAAGTGTGAAAAATATTCTAACTACAGAATAAGCTTTAAAACTATTATATTAGATATACTTCCTACAAGTCATAGTGACAATCAGGTAAATATGAAATGTTGCATTACTAGTAACTGTTTTCCTAAAAGTGACTAGTTCTTATATACGTAAATGTTTGGATTATAGAAATGAGATTTTATCTTCTTAATTATAACATATTATTTCATTATGCTGTATTCATTGTAATAATGTACTCAAATATGGGCCTTTGCCAATTATTGTAATTGTGTTTGTGCCGATAAAATATTTGTATTGTATTTGTATCTAATGTATTTGTATCTAATGATACAAAAATTTTGTTAGAATAATTACTGAGATTGAACAGATGCTTGACGAAGATGTTAATGTAAACAAAAGAATGGGACAATATGGTGGAGAAGATATACTTAGTAGCCTGGGAAACAGTTCAGCTACTGTTCTGACACATTGCAATACTGGTTCCTTAGCAACAGCAGGTTATGGCACAGCACTAGGTAAAATCTGGGAAAAAAACATTAGTGAACTCTCAGAGCTGAAATACCTCATCACTTTATACATCTAATATTGACATCTTCACCAAAACTTTCTGTGTGAGTAAATTGATTTAAACATAAATGTGAAACTCATAACTAAAATTCTGACTTAAAAGAAAAATTACTTTTTGTGTTTAAATTTTCATACTAACATAATTTAAAAAATTCACTTTACTCTCATAGTATATGTTAAATATATTGTATACATTATTTTTTTTTCTTATTTTGAAAAGAGATGATTAATAAAAGATATGCTACCCAATACACTTGAGTAATGTATTCCCTATTTACTATTACAATTACTTTAGTAGCCCACTAGAGCAAACTCACCATACTAAGTATAAGGGTCCCTGTGTTACATCTTCACTCCTGTCCTATTTACCATTACAATTATCCCCATGTGAAATTTCACTAATATGATTTCAGAAAAAGTTCATTCAATCATTGCAATGGAATTTTAACTGCAAATTCTTAATTGCAATGCTAATCTGGTCTGACACATTTTTTGGCCATAATTAATTTATAAAACAAAACTTCCGGAATTTATAGAAGTACATATAAGCACATAACAAATGATCTTATTAACCAAAACTACACTGCACTATATCTTGTCTTAGTAAAATGATATTTAATCTTTGTCAGGTTCTAAGAATCTGTAAAGCTGGAATTGTATAACCAAAATAGGTTTGTTTACTTTTAACACAGTAAACTGTGCATTTTTGTATTGACAATATAAAATAGCTATTAAATATATCTTTTGTCTCATCAATGGTACATTTGGAGAAAGATTTTTTGCAGTAATAATTTTTTCTTTGTTATCATAATCAATATTTATAATATGTTTTTTTATATCTGATATCTTATTGAAGTATTATGGTAGGAGAAAAGCTTTGTAGATGCCCTATACCTTCAAATTTTTTTATGAAGGTTTTATTGGTAGTAGAAAAAACATTCATTATGATGCAATTCATTTGTACTGACACTTTTGATTTGACGATATATTTTGAGAGGGTAAATCTATTCATTACCATTCAGAATGCTACATGTATATGCAATCATTTCAGTTTACTTATAGTTTAACATTTTAACAGAATAAGTTTAGCAATTGAATTAGATAGAATTAGAATAGGAATAAAGGCCATTTATTTTAATACTTGCTGACATCAATGATAACCATACATTTTACAGTTACTAATATCCATTTTCAATTTGTGATAGTAAAATCAATAATTGATGTTTTATAATTTATTATTACAATAGAATTGTAAATTATATTTTTTCTTCACAAGGAGCTTGGACTTGTTGAAGACAATGTAACAAACAATTGATAGAAATAAAGAAATATCTTATTGGTGTTAAAAAAAAATTTCAATAATTGATGTTGGCAAGTATGAACCTAAAATTTAGTTATTCCTAAATTTTCAACACTTTCCAGTTGGCTTATACTCTGCTATGTATCATATACACATAAGTGCACATAGATATTGTGTGTTTGGAGTTGTTTAAATAAATAAATGAATAAGTACACTAGTGTATATATATGTGCTGTGATATACATGTTAGTTTACTAACTTAGCATATACAATGTCCTTCACCAGGAACACTCGAGAAAGCCAAGGATGTATATCTGTTACCTTCATCAGGAACACTCGTGAAAGCCAAGGATGTATAACTGGATTTACCTTCATCAGGAACACTCGTGAAAGCCAAGGATGTATATCTGGATTTACCTTCACCAGGAACACTCGTGAAAGCCAAGGATGTATATCTGGATTTACCTTCACCAGGAACACTCGTGAAAGCCAAGGATGTATATCTGGATTTACCTTCACCAGGAACACTCGTGAAAGCTAAGGATGTATATCTGGATTTACCTTCATCAGGAACACTCGTGAAAGCTAAGAATGTATATCTGGATTTACCTTCACCAGGAACACTCGTGAAAGCTAAGAATGTATATCTGTATTTACCTTCACCAGGAACACTTGTGAAAACCAAGGATGTATATCTGGATTTACCTTCACCAGGAACACTCGTGAAAGCCAAGGATGTATATCTGGATTTACCTTCACCAGGAACACTCGTGAAAGCTAAGGATGTATATCTGGATTAACCTTCGTCAGGAACACTCGTGAAAGCCAAGGATGTATATCTGGATTTACCTTCACAAGGAACACTCATAAAAGCCAAGGATGTATATCTGTTACCTTCACCAGGAACACTCGTGAAAGCCAAGGATGTATATTGGATTTACCTTCATCAGGAACACTCGTGAAAGCTCATGGATGTATATCTGGATTTACCTTCACCAGGAACACTCGTGAAAGCTAAGGATGTATATCTGGATTTACCTTCAACAGGAACACTAGTGAAAGCTTAGGATGTATAACTGGATTTACCTTCACAAGGAACACTCGTAAAAGCCAAGGATGTATATCTGTTACCTTCACCAGGAACACTCGTGAAAGCCAAGGATGTATATCTGGATTTACCTTCATCAGGAACACTCGTGAAAGCTAAGGATGTATATCTGGATTTACCTTCACCAGGAACACTAGTGAAAGCTAAGGATGTATATCTGGATTTACCTTCAACAGGAACACTAGTGAAAGCTAAGGATGTATAACTGGATTTACCATCACCAGGAACACTCGTAAAAGCCAAGGATGTATATCTGTTACCTTCATCAGGAACACTCGTGAAAGCCAAGGATGTATAACTGGATTTACCATCACCAGGAACACTCGTGAAAGCCAAGGATGTATAACTGGATTTACCTTCATCAGGAACACTCGTGAAAGCTAAGGATGTATAACTGGATTTACCTTCACCAGGAACACTCGTGAAAGCCAAGTGTGTATAACTGGATTTACTTTCACCAGGAACACTCGTGAAAGCTAAGGATGTATATCTGGATTTACCTTCATCAGGAACACTCGTGAAAGCTAAGGATGTTTATATGGATTTACCTACATCAGGAACACTCGTGAAAGCCAAGGATGTAGAACTGGATTTACCTTCATCAGGAACACTCGTGAAAGCCAAGGATGTATATCTGGATTAACCTTCGTCAGGAACACTTGTGAAAGCTAAGGATGTATATATGGATTTACCTACATCAGGAACACTCGTGAAAGCCAAGGATGTATATCTGGATTAACCTTCGTCAGGAACACTTGTGAAAGCTAAGGATGTATAACTGGATTTACCTTCATCAGGAACACTCGTGAAAGCCAAGGATGTATATATATATATATGCGCGTACTACTGAATACACAAGGAGCTAAATGACCAAAACGGATCTAAAAATATAGCCAATTCTACCTTAGGTCAACTTTGTCTGAGGGTGTTGGAATCATAGTTTAAATATATATAATTTCGACATTTATCACTTAGAATTTAAGAAAGCCAAATGATGTATTTATAACTACTTGTATACTTGAAGACCAAAAGGGACAAAAAATCAATAGCCAAATCAAAAATGAAAAATTTCACAGAGTTGATGGAGTAAGAAATGCAATGGGATCAAACTACAGTCTCTATTGATGTTTGTACTCAACAGTCCATGCATGAGTTTTTGTAGACACTGAGACTTTATTTTTCAGGAGTTGTACGATATTTGCAGAGCAAACAAAAGTTGGATCATGTTTACTGTACAGAAACCAGACCATACAACCAGGGAGCCAGGTTAACAGCTTATGAAATAGTCTATGAAAAAATGCCAGGAACATTGATCTGTGATAGTATGGTAGCCATGTTGATGAAGAAAAATAAAATTTCGGCTGTTGTTGTTGGTGCAGACAGAGTGGTTGCTAATGGTGATGCTGCCAATAAAATAGGGACATACCAAATAGCCATAGTGGCTAAACATCATGGTGTGCCATTCTATGTAGCTTGTCCATCCACTACATACGATGACACTTTACCTGACGGAGATCATATTGTTATAGAGGAAAGACCACATGGAGAAATGACTTCTGTAAATGGAACTAGAATAGCTGCCCCAGGTATGTTTTTCAATAAATATTATTCTATTAAGTATGGTTTTCTTTATTTTTTTTCAAAAATACAGTGAGACACAGGGTTCCGTGGAACCCCTTACAAATTTTTATTTTTAAATACAGCTCATAAAAATTTTTGAAACAGTTATCAGCCACACTTGCTTGGTGTATTAACTTATCATGAGCTCTATTTGATATCTGATTTGAACCTTTTAATAGTGTTTTTCACTTGTTTTTAAAAAGCTACGTTATTCAATATTTAAATATGTTGTTTTCCTGTTAAATGTTATTGCCCTTACTGGCAGATGATTGAAAAATAAAAACTTCTCTATGTTTTGAAGCAGTTAATAATGAGTGTAACCATAGTAACCACAAAGAAGTTTAGAAATGAAAATAAAGTGCAGAACTTTTACAATAGAAAACAAATTGCTAAATGGTGTTAAAGACTTGGTAACTATAAAATGTCCAGATGCATCAGTTGCCAATTGGGGCATGTAGCAAACAATGTCTCAGGACATTATTCATGATCAAAGAGTAACTTAGATTTTCATTAAAAATATAGAAATTACATCTCCAACCAGTTTCTCTGTGACTTTAAATGCATAACAGTTAACATTATAAATTTCAATTTATTCTTTTATATCCAAAGTAATTTATATCCACTTAGATTCTAACATTATATTACAGGTATTGGTTGTTGGAACCCAGCCTTTGATGTCACTCCAGGAGAGCTTATTACAGGAGGGATAATTACAGAATTTGGTGTGTTTAAACCATCAGAGCTTCAACAAAAAATCAGACAAGCAAAATCCTAATGATATTTGTTACAATAAATTTTAATGCTTTTGCTCAAATTTTATTGATGAACCAAATAAATAATCATTGTTTATTACATTATAAATCTTATTTGCCTGTTTAAAGTAGTAGTCCAAGGGTTGACCCTGTTCTAATATATTGACACTGTTCTAAGAGGTCATTTCTAGATATTTGATACACCAAAGAAAAAGTTACTTAATTTGTTGTTTAACTTTTCTTTTGTACAAGTGCCTTGTGAGACTCCTTCTGTTGCAAAAAAAAATGGCTTCCCACAACAGGTTTATTTTATGTGTATCACATGGTTTTCCAAAAAAAATTTTTTATGTTTAGTTTTAGATCATTCATTATTTCTTTCTTTTACATAGTAATCTCAACCAATTTGCTGCAATTTTCTTATGACTATGGATACAGTGTTTTTTTAACAAATCAAATCAAATAATTTTATTGGTGTAAATTCCAATACAGGGATGAGACCAGCTGACATTTACAAAATACAAATACAAAAACAAACAAAGACAAATATACAATATACAAAGACATATTTACATTACATGGAAGTGCTATTCATACTATGTTATCAAGCTATTACAATAAGCTTTAATACTACAACAGTTCTTAACAACGTAATGATTATGTTTGCCTTTAATGAATGTACCTATCATACATATCGCTTATTCCAGCTACACATACAGTACAAATGTCAGTACCATTATTTTTCAAAATGAAACTAAATTTATCTTGTTCAGACATATTAAAAAAAGATGAAACTATATCATTTAAATTACGAAAGAGTATATTTCTATTAAATTCTTTACGTTTAACATTAAATGAGGAAATGGAATTCATCTTCAATTTCACCCTTGCAAAGAGCACAAATTCTTTGTTCTAGACTAAAGGCGTTCTAGTATAGCTATCAACTTTTACAACAGATTTATCTTTAATAACTACGTTAATCTTCATTCAAACTTTTATTTCTCATATTGTCCTTTGTCTTTCATCAAAATTACTAATCAGGAAATACACCAAACTTTAATTTTTATACAATTATGCTCTGATCATCTATATGCACAAGATAAGTTTTTGTAAAACATTTTAGAAGAAATGGTTTCTTGTATATATATGTGTAATAACAATCACTGATGTTCTTATTTGTTTCTGTACTTAAGACATCACATGACCTGAAGATCCTAACCACATTATCATGTAAAACCTTTAAGGGAAATGAACGGTGGTACACTATATATATCAGCTAAACACAGAACTTTGTAAAGTCTTTGAGAGATTAAGGTGGAAGGATGAATACTAAAAGATTAAAAATAAAATAGTCACAAACTGCTATGCACTGGATTCCTTCTTAATTTATTGAGAAAATTTACATGTCCCTTTGGTATCTTTCGCTCCTCTTATCAAAGAGTGTGATTTAAATAGGTATATGTTCCATAATTATTCAATTTCTCAGGTCAATTAACCAACAAAAAGGATATATTACCTACTATCAAAGCTATCAATAGCATTATAAAGATTATCGAGATATATATTTAATTGATTTCTAATCCATAACATAGTATCCTACTGCCAGATACATGTAATACAATGTATGACACATGGGTGTATATTTTCTAAATCATACAATTTTCCACATGTTCCATAAACCTTTCCCAGTTCCAGTTCCCCCACCCCTTTTTAGCTCACCTGGCCTGAAAGGTCATATGAGCTTTTGCCTTAACTTGGCATTCATTGTCCTTGTCTGTCAGTTCATCTGTCCCTTGTTGTATCTTTTAAATAAACTTCTCTGAAACTACTGGGCCAAATGTTACCAAACTTTTCCTGAATATTCCCTAGGGTATCTTGTTTAAAAATTGTATCCTGGAATTTGATCCATCAACAACATGGCTGTTGCTAAATAAAATGCTTCGCTGGGCGCAGCTTGATACGACCGCAGAGGTCGAACCCTGAACAGTTGGGGCAAGTATGGACATAACATTCAAGCTTGATACAGCTCTGAATTTGGATTGTGATTAAATATTTGACACAGCATAGGTTTCTGACACAGAAAGAATGTGGTCTAAGAACTTGAATTTTTTTAATTTACCTATTATGGTCCAATGTCCAAAATCAAAACTACATGGTTAGATTCAGCATATCAAAGAACCCCATATATTAAATTTTTGTTAAAATCAAACAAAGTTTAATTTTGGACCCCAACTTGGACAAACTTGAAAACTGGGCCCATAATCAAAAATCTAAACACATGTTTAGATTCAGCATATCAAAGAACCCCAAGAATTCAATTTTTGTTAAAATCAAACTAAGTTTAATTTTGGACCCTTTGGACCTTAATGTAGACCAATTTAAAAAACGGGACCCAAAATTAAAAATCTAAATACACGGTTAGATTTGGAATATCAAAGAACCCCAATAATTCAATTTTTGATGAAATCAAACAAAGTTTAATTTTGAACCCTTTTGACCTCAATATGAACCAATTTGATAGCGGGGCCCACAAATAAAAAATCTAAGTACATGGTTAAATTCAGCATATCAAAGAACCCCATATATTCAATTTTTGTTGAAATCAAAAAAAGTTTAATTTTGGACCCCAATTTGGACCAACTTGAAAACTGGGCCCATAATAAAAAATATAAACACATGTTTAGATTCAGCATATCAAAGAACCCCAAGAATTCAATTTTTGTTAAAATCAAACAAAGTTTAATTTTGGACCCTTTGGACCTTAATGTAGACCAATTTAAAAAACGGGACCCAAAATTAAAAATCTAAATACACGGTTAGATTTGGCATATCAAAGAACCCCAATAATTAAATTTTTGATGAAATCAAACAAAGTTTAATTTTGGACCCTTTTGACCTCAATACGAACCAATTTGATAGCGGGCCCACAAATAAAAAATCTAAATACATGGTTAGATTCAGCATATCAAAGAACCCCATATATTCAATTTTTGTTGAAATCAAACAAAGTTTAATTTTGGACCCCAATTTGGACCAACTTGTAAACTGGGCCAAAAATCTAAAATCTAAATACATGTTTAGATTCAGCATATCAAAGAACCCAAAGAATTCAATTTTTGTTAAAATCAAACTAAAGTTTAATTTTGGACCCTTTGGACCTTAATGTAGACCAATTTAAAAAACGGGACCCAAAATTAAAAATCTAAATACACGGTTAGATTTGGAATATCAAAGAACCCCATATATTCAATTTTTGTTGAAATCAAACAAAGTTTAATTTTGGACCCCAAATTGGACCAACTTGAAAAATATTTGAAGAATAATTCTTTTTAATTTCTGAAATCTGAAATGAGAAAAAATTGACCCCCCACAATTTCTTTATACCCCCCCCCCCCCCCCCCCCTTTTTCCCCAAAAAAATTCTTTCCCTCAAGATATGGTCATAATCTCAATTCAAATTTCCAATGGAGTTTGCAATCATAATTACCCATTTAAATTTACCATAGTGCTTACTTAATCTATTTTATAATAGAATTTAAAATATAGTGTTAAATCTTTCATATGGATATTTTTGTAAAAAAAAAAAATGCAACATTTGCAGATATTTTTACTGGTCTTCCTTTATAAATATGAATTTCTTTAAACATAATTTAAAAGCAGTGTAAGGGAAGTAACCAAAACTTTGTATTTGTATTACCTCCCTTACACTGTTTTAAATTATCTTAATTGTTCATTAACCATTACTTTATACATACTTTAAAAGCAGTGTAAGGGAGATAATTTCAATGATGTATTTGATTTATCTCCCTTACACTGCTTTAAATTATGTTTTGTACTAAAGTATTTGTCCATTAACCAGGACAACCTTGTTTTTCCCCTTTTTTGCCCCTAATTCCTTAACGGTTTGAGCCATAACCCCCCAAAGCAAATCCTAACCATCCCTTTGTGGTATGGAAACTTGTAGTATAATTTCAGAGAGATCCATACACCGTTCCACAGTTATTGTCTGGAAACTAGAAAATGCTTATTTTTGGCCCCTTTTTGGCCCCTAATTCCTTAACTGTTGGTACCATAACCCCCAAAATCAATCCCCACCTTCCTTTTGTGGTATTGAACCTTATGGTAAAATTTCAAAGAGATCCATTCACTTAAACTAAAGTTAGAGTGCGAAAACCAATGTGTCATCGGACGACGACGACGCCGGACGACGACGACGCCAACGTCATACCAATATACGACCGCAAAAATTTTTTGCGGTCGTATAAAAATCAACATTCAACGCAGGGATAAAATGCAGTTTTTTGCTTATATGTCAAAAATTATCAGCAGGTCAAAGTCTATCTTCTGCCAAATTTTGAGAATAATGGGACGGCCAACACAATTTGGAGTTATTGGCCCTACAATATAATTTTTCAGTAAATTTTAAAGTTTTTGGTTTATATCTCAAAAACTTAAATCAGTTAGAGCAAATCTGACGCAGGTAGAATTGATTAGCAGGTCAAGGTCTATATATATCTCTGCAGCATTTTTTGAAAAATCAGACTACCCTTTTTGGAGTTATTGCCCCTCAAATGTCATTTTTTTGGCAAATTTTGCCGTATCTGGTTATTATTTTGATAATTATAACAGATAGAGAGAAATTAACAGTGAAATGACAAAAAAGAGAGAAATTTACAGTGAAATGACAAAAACAATAAGATCTACAAATAAGACAACTTGGCAGAAATTGTTAAAGGGGCATTTGTCTCAAATTTTCATATTTCATGTACAACATACTAAAACGTATATCTAAATTACAAAAAGTCTAAGATAAACAATTAACAATGCATGGACGCAATAATATATATCAGCATTTTTTGTGTATCTTAGTATAGACGCCTTCTAATTAACCATCGGGATGACCTCCGAAGACTGTTGACGGTCATATAACCCGATATAAACATAAAAAAGTACGTAAAACTTTATTTGGATTTTGCATATTGACAAACAAATTAAACATAAGCTCTAAAGAGCTTTTCACCGAACATAAATATAAACAACTATCGACCACGTGCAATTGGATTTTTCTAGGTCTGTTTGATTTCATGTAAGAATGTTAAAATGT